TTCAGTTTGATAATTTGCTGGAACAGCCTACAGAACTCAGGAAATGGGTTTATTCACTGTTACCAGTTTATTATAAAGGAGTCAACCAGGGAACAGCCAAAACAGAGACACTGGGGCAAGGTGTGGGGAAAGGCCCATTTCTCGGGTTCTTGATCGGATCCTTGGCTGTGTGTGATTTAGCCCCCCAACCCTCTGCCCTCTCTGGGGGCAGAAACTTCTGGCCCCCAGCCAGCTATGCTAATAATCACCTTGTTATTCTTAGTGTTCTGGGAGGGGCTTTTCCTGAATAAGAAGGGCTGCTCTTGTCCCTGTCACTTGGGAAGCCCCACGGGTCTTGGAAGCGCTTGTGCAGGAATTCTCCTCATGTCCCAACGCCACAGGCCATAGAACAAGAGCAGGAGACACCTCTGCGAGCACAGTGCTGACGTAGCACAGCCCTACCCATGGCCTCAGCCCCCCCGCCCCCCCCACCCCCCCCCGTCTTGGGGTCCTGAGTTCAGCTGTGATAGAAAGCCCCCGCCTTTAATGTCACACATGTGGCTGGTGTCCAGGCCCGGTCACTCACAGCTGTGGGCTTTACAGGGAGGCCGTGGTTCCCAGTTCTGTGACCGCCTGCCTGGCCTTTTCCTGGTCCCAGGCTCACCCAAGGTTTGGGCCTCTGCCTGCACCTCTGTGTAAGAAGCTTTTCCTGGGTGGGGGGTCCTTCCCTTCTTCTGGTGCCCGGGGGTGCGGCAGCTTTGCTAGCCTGCAGTCAGGAAAGCCAAGTTTCCTTTCCAGGGGACTGTATTCCTCACATAGTGTTCTCTTTCTAGCAGGGGCTTGAGTGAACTTGTCCTCTTGAGCCTTCTGCAGCTGTGACTGGAGCTGGCTCCCAGTCTGTGTGTCCCGAGAAAAAGAGCTCTTGGCTGAGGTGGTGGTGGGGGTGCTGGACTCACCCCAGCCTGAAGACTCGATGGCACAGAGGAGGGGCAGGCTTGGTGGAGTGGGTAGAGGGCTTCCTTCAAGCCCCTGAAGGAGGAGGAAGATGAGGACTAGGGGATGCATCGGGCCTGTGGTCAGTGCTCAGGACTGACTGTCCGGCCACTGCTGTGTGGCAGGAGTGACCTTGGAGCCTGTGACCTGCTCCCCGTCCTCGCCTGTACTGGGCAGCAGCCACTAACCAGTCTCTGTATGAGGAGCAAGTCTAGGGGATAAGGAGGCCTTCCTGGAGGAAGAGGCACCTACGATGACATCTGGAGGGAGGGCAGGAGTCAGATCCCAACAGGATGCAGCAGGAGCAGAGGCTGGAGCCTTAGGAGCATGTGGAGGTGGCAGGCTGGTGTCTGCAGGTCCCATGCCCTCTGTTCAGGATCCTGGCACCTGCCAGGCTCGCTGTGTGCACCTCACGTCCTGGCCTGACTCCTCACCCTTTGGGTCTGGGCTTAGGCATGGCCTCCTGGAGCAGCCTCCCTGACACGCTGTCGTTGCTGGATGACCCCGAGTGGACAGGGGCTCCTCAGGGCAGGCCCAGGGTCTACCTCAGTGACCTCATCTACCCAGCCCAGCCAGGGGTCTTGGAAGGCTAGGTGGGGGGTCCCAGAGAGGCCCTGGGGGTCCTGACGGCGGCTCTCCTCCTCCCTGTAGCGGTACCTGGTTCCTCAGGCCCGTGCCCTCTGTGGCCTGGACGAGAGCAAGGCCAAGCTGTCGTCCGACGTGCTGACCCTCCTCATCAAGCAGTACTGCCGGGAGAGTGGTGTCCGCAACCTGCAGAAGCAGGTGGAGAAGGTGAGCCACCTGCCCAGTGGCAGATGGAGCCTGGGGCCATGATGGCTAAAGTGGGCCCAGCCAGTCGGGGGACACACACCACAGTGGGTGCCCAGAGGAGTCACAGCCACAGACAGGAAGTAGATGGTAGGGTCAGGGCTGGGGTCAGGGAACAGGGAGTGAGTGCTTAATGATCAGAGGGTTCTAGAAGGATGGTTGGACACGAGCTCTCGTGCACTTCTGCCAGAGCTGTATGCTTACTAATGGCTGAGATGGTTTTAGGTTGTGTGTGTGTCCCCACAACTGTAAAAAGTTAAAAAGCTAGTGGAGGTGAGCTGGGGTCAGGTTGGGGACGGGACGGTCCTGTGGCCTGGCCACCTCCAGCCCACCGTGCCCATGCAGGTGTTACGGAAGTCTGCCTACAAGATTGTCAGTGGTGAGGCTGAGTTTGTGGAGGTGACGCCCGAGAACCTGCAGGACTTCGTGGGGAAGCCAGTGTTCACAGTGGAGCGCATGTATGACGTGACACCGCCTGGCGTGGTCATGGGCCTGGCCTGGACGGCCATGGGTGAGTGGCCTCTGTACCCCCAGGAGAGGTGGGAGCGCTCACCGTGGGGTGCTCTGAACGCCCTTCCTGCTGGTAGGAGTGCGCAGGGTTGATTTGGGGACCCTGAGGCAGTGGCAGCGCCCTGTGAGCTTCGAGTTCCTGGTTTTCAGGCTTGCCTGAAGGAGAGCCCCTCACAGCAGGAGAGGCCGCTCTGGGTAAAGGGTTCAGGGAAGGGCTTCCTGTCCAAGTGACCTCGCTGAGCCCACTGGCCCTGGGGTCTGGGAGCTGCAAGGTGGTGAGAGAGCAGCTCAGGGGCTTATGTAGCTGAGAAACATGTCTGCAGGCAGGCAGGGGGTGGGTGTCAAAGGAAGTGGGCTGAGGGCATGGAGTCTGCTGATTTGGGCTGTACTGAGAGAACTGTGCTCCTGAGCCTGCAGGCTCTGTGCTGGAGGCAGGTACACGGGGAAGCCCAGCACAGAGGGCTTCAGGTTTTCGCGTAACCTGGTCCGTCCCTGGCAGCTCCACCTGCCGCCCCGAGGAGGTGGCTGCAGGGACAGTGAGAGCACTGAGGGCTGAGGAGGTTCTAGGTCGGGATGAGCTGTGTAAGGAACTTTACTGGGAAGTGCTGAGCAGGTGGTGGGGGCGACTGTCCTGGAGTCTGGGGCTGCCCTGGTTCATGGCTCTGCCCTCGGGTCCTCAGGAGGCTCCACGCTATTTGTTGAAACGTCCCTGAGACGGCCGAGAGACAGAGACAGCGACAGCGACAAGGGGGACAAGGATGGGAGCCTAGAGGTGACAGGCCAGCTGGGGGAGGTGATGAAGGAGAGCGCCCGCATCGCCTACACTTTCGCCAGGGCCTTCCTGATGCAGCATGACCCCTCCAACAAGTTCCTGGTGACATCACACATCCACCTGCACGTGCCTGAGGTGAGGCCCACCCTGATCCCGCCCTGTGTCACACGCCCGCCAGGCTGCCTGCCCACCTGCCCGTCTCCCTGCAGGGTGCCACCCCCAAGGACGGCCCGAGTGCTGGCTGCACCATTGTCACGGCCCTGCTCTCCCTGGCTCTGGACCGGCCAGTACGGCAGAACCTGGCCATGACGGGCGAGGTCTCCCTCACAGGCAAAGTGCTGCCTGTGGGCGGCATCAAAGAGAAGACCATCGCGGTGAGTGCTGCACTGGCTCAGCAGCAGAGACCCGGACAACGCATGGCCATCACAGCCATCACTCAGGGCTGACCGCACCTCCAGGGGAAAAGGCAGGGTGACAGGCTGTTTACAGACAGGAAAAGTGAGGCTCTTTGGGCTTCAGGTTGGACCCAGGGTTGCCTGGCCTGGAGCATCTATTAAGCTGACAGCGTGACTACTCCATCCCTTGCCCCCCAGTGGCTCTCAAAGCCTTTCCAGCCTGTCTCTGCTCCTTCCTGAGGTTGAGATTCGGGTCTCCATCTCTGCCCACAGTGGCTGAGCACTGAGCACGTGGCTGCAGGAGACAGCAGCAGGGGGCTGGGCTCAGGCAGTGCAGGTGGACAAGGGCCCAGAGCCGGAGTCTCCCCAGGTGTGCTGTAGGCTGGACTGTGGAGGCAGCCCTTTGTCCTGGGATTCTCCTGTGTTGGGCTGAGGGGTTCCTAACAGAGCCCCACTGTCTCTGAGCCCCCACACACCTCACTGCGGCACCCTGGTTCTGGCCCTCATGCTCTACCCTGCTATCTCAAAGGGACCGTGGCCTCCAGGGCCTCCCGTGAGGGAGACACCCCAGGCAGGGTGTGTGGGCCTTGCTTTCCTCGCCTGTAGACTGGGAGCTTCCATGGGCCACCATCCCCAAAGCAGCTCATGGGAACCCCCACCCCCCAAGGAGGAGTCGGGCTGAGGAACAGGTCATGCAGTGTGGGAACCTTCAGCTCCTGTGCACTTTTAGGTGCCAAACCTCAAAATGTAGAGCAGTGGGCGCTGTGATTGACCTAAGAAACCATGTACACCACACTGCATGTATTTCCAGGCCCACCTGGAGTAAGGGAGCATCTGGGCTGAGAGCACCTGAGCAGAAGCCTGGGCCCTGCTCCCCAGGCTGCTAGAGTGGAGGCTGGCGATGGTCCCTGGGGCCTGGTTCCTCATCTATGCAAGGAAGGGTGGGCACCGGGAGTGTGGCTCCCTGCCCAGCTCTCTACTTCCTCACCACTGACCCACCACCCCCTCCCTCCCAGGCCAAGCGCGCTGGGGTCACCTGCATCGTCCTGCCAGCTGAGAACAAGAAGGACTTCTATGACCTGGCTGCCTTCATCACTGAGGGCCTGGAGGTGCACTTCGTGGAGCACTACCGCGAGATCTTTGACATCGCCTTTCCTGAGGAGAGGGCCGAGGCCCTGGCGGTGGAGCGGTGACAGCAGCCCTTGGTACCCTTGTTACTGCTGGGCCTGGTCCAGGCCAGAACTGCATCCCAGGAGGGGCTCTGGGCAGCTGAGCCCTAGGAAGCTTGGGGGAGACTGGAAGCCCGATCTTAATTATGGCTGAATCAGTGTATTTAATTATGATAAAAACCGTTTCCAGTACTGCTTGGCTGTGGCCTCTTTTGTTGCCTACCACCCCCTCACCAGGGTGCTCCAGGGGTGGGATCCCCCTCATTCTCAACGGTGAACTACCCTCCCATTTCCAATGGCAGCACAGAAACGCCGAGTTTTTGGCAAGATTTATTGTGAACAGAGGGGAAGGGCTCAATCCTTCTTGGCTGCCGCTTTCCTCATGGCGGCCAAGACGTTGCTCAGCTCCTCTCTCTTCCTCTTCGCGCGGATGTGTGTCCCCACCTGCCGGGCAAGGGGGGCCGTGAGCCTGAGCCCCGAGTCCCAGACCGGGTCCCGCACGGGAGCCCCACCTACCCTCTTCTTGATGAACTTGAGGGCCCGCTTGTCCTTGGAGACCTTGAGCAGCTCCATGGCGCGTCGCTCGTAAGGGGCGAAGCCACACACCTCCCGGATCATGTCCCGCACGAACTTGGTGTGTTTGGTGAGACGCTGCGCGAAGCCGGGGCGTCAGCAGTCTGCCGCCGACGGAAGCCCAGACCCCCCACCCCCCAATCTCATCAGCACCAAAGCGGCGCTTCACGCCCGGTTCTCTGCACGGGCAGTCCCGGGACCCCGAACACTGTCATCCTGCACACAAACTGGGCACCGTGGAGTTGGCGCCGCTTAACCAAGAAATGCACACACACGCCCTCCCCTCGAGGCCACGATTCCTCAACACGAAAATCAAGGAATCCACTTTCCCTCCACGTTTCAACCCGGATCCATGCACCGTCCTACTCGGCAAACTCCTGCTCATGCGTCAAAACCGGCTCCCAAGTCGCTCCCGCCCCAGCTTCCGAATCCACGGCGCGGGGGAGGGTCCCGGTACGTGGCCCCGGTGGGCGTCCAGAGAAAAGGGGAACACACAGGAGGGTAACCAGCCTTTCCGCTCTCTCCTATGGCCAGCCTCACCTTTTTCCCCCTGCTTAAAACACCAGGGTTCCCCCAGCCCTAGATACCCCGACGGCGCTCCGGGAGTCTCTGCCCAGGCCCTGCCCTCCGCCTGGAAGGCTTCCTACCCACTAACCGCGCGCCCTGGCACTCACCCCGCGGCGGCGGCTGTGCCTCGGCTTGCCCACGTTCTTGGTCACCTTGTGACCCTTGTTGAGGCCCACGGCCATGGGGTAGCGCAGAGCCATGGCTGCGGACAGAAAAGGGGAGAAGGGATGTGGGTGAGCTCCGGCTGGGTGCCAACTGCCTGGAACCCCACGCTTCGGCTCCCAGGGGTTTGCTCGCTGCACTCAGCCATCCCTCGAGTTGCCTGGGACACCTAGGCTCCGGATGGCAACGGATGCTACTAGCGAGAGTGCTTACGAACCTGTTGTTCTACAATGGCTGCCGCGGCGGAAGGACCTCCGACGAGCGGAACTCTGGGATATCTACCAGCTCGCGGGCGGTGCGGGCCAGAGAGGCAAGAATGGCTCGGGCTCCCCCTCGTGGCTTGGAGGAGTCCCTGGGGGCTCTCTGAGCATGCGCGAACAGACACCCAAAGCGAGCTAATTTACTCCAGCGAGCTTTCATCTTTAGTCGGACCGGGTGGGCGTGACTATGGCGGCGGTGCAACCCTCCGCTGGTGGGTTGAGAGTTGGAATCCTACCTCTGCCGCCACCTGGTTGGCCCAGCGCCAGGGACTCCACCTCCCACTACCAAAATTTCTCCATTTATAGAAGGATGACAAAAATAGTACCTATTCCGAACTGAGCAAGATATAATGACACCTGGCACAAAATAAAACTTTCACTAACAGAGGAATTGGTTTTACTATACATGAAGCCAAGTTCTGGACTAGCGCTAAGGAAAGTGTTGTGACATAGTGCCCCGGGTGGCACTTGATATGTGCGTGTGTGCTAGGTCGCTTCAGTCGTGTTCGATTCTCTGGGACCCTAAGGACTGTAGCCCGCCAGGCTCCTCTGTCCATGGAATTCTCCAGGCAAGAATACTGGAATGGGTTGCCATTTCCTCCTCCAGGGGATCTTCCCAGGGATCGAACCCGCGTCTCATGTCCGCCTGCACTGGCAGGTGGTTCTTTACCACTAGCGCCACCTGGTGTAATTTTAGGGGCAGAGATAGGAGGCATGGGGGGAACAAAATCTTCCCCCCTTCCCTTGTTTTTATCTTTCAATCCTGTTTATCTCCAAGAGTCAGTATCAGTTTGGGGCTGATCTGTTTGGGGGTTACCCCTTCGAACATCCGCTTATCTTGGTGCCTTGGAGAACCAACAGTAGCTTGCATTTTATAACATTGTTTTCATGCTACAGTTTTAATCTTTATAGTTACTTTTCCTTTATGCAAGCAGTGCTGGTTCACCATTCTAAGGAAAGTCTCCATTTTAAATTTATTAATGTAAATATCAGTGGTGTGCAGGTGCACACATTACCTTAAAGAGGGATAGTCTGTTGTAGGAATCTCAGCTTCTGCCACCAACTTCCCCGCTCTGTTTCCTCATCCATAAAATGATAATAATGATAGCACTGACTTCTGGTTGCAAAAATTCCATGTGGTCACGAATGTCAAGTGCATAGTGCTTGATACAGGTGATCATTATTGGGGCATAAATCACGTGCTTCATGCTGCAAATAACGCCTTTGGCCCACAAGCAGTTCCCTTTCCTTCCATCCCTGATTTCCTGGATGAGGTCCACCTGTCTCAAAGCCTCCGTTTCTCCACCTGTGAAATGAAGTTGAGCATTCTGACATAAATATATCATAGACATCCCTCTTCACCTCCTGCCACAAGCAAACTGGAAGGAACCTGAACAGCGGATGTGCAAGGGAAGAAGGGTTTTTATTATCAAATGGGAGGTTGGACCTAGCCTAGAACATGTTCTTTTCCTCCTCCCTCTCCTCAGACCCCAAGAGCAACTCAAGAGCTTTGAGGGCTCTCTTGCTTGGGGAAAGGGTTGGAGGATGCTCCGAGACTGACTGAATGGAAGGAACAAAGCGGGAGGCAGTGGGTTTAGGTCACAGATAGAGAGGGCTCCAAGGGTGGCTCAGTGGTGGTATGACCTGTTGGATGTGGCCGGGGCTCTGGGGCAAGTCACATCGCCTCTCTGAGCCTCAGTTTGTTCATCTGCAAAATGGAAGCAGCTCTCATATCATCAGTAACAGCTAAGAAGACTGAGGTAATTTACTTCTGACTTCCTGACAAGATGCCTGGTACACTCCGAATTCTGCTTGTTTTCAAGTGTTGGTAGTTTTCCTCGGGTTTACTTTTGTGTCTTGATGACTTTCTCTTGGTCCTTGACCACCTGCTCAGAAGTGTCTTCAGTGTGTGTCCCGGCTCCAGGATCGTCTTCTGGGAAGATGAAGGGGCCTCAAGCCCAGCAGCTCAGGCAGCAGGGGGAGTCGTTATGTTGAGCTCCTGGCGGACGAACCAGGCCCTCGAGTGTGGCATCCAGCTGCGGAGCAGGCAGAGCAGGTGGAAGCGCCATGGGTAGAAGACGCCGGAGGCACGTGTGGCGCCTCCGCGGATCACGGCCAGGGCTGCCTTGGGCCCTGGAGCCGCCTTGACACTCGTGATGCCCCTGGGGACGGGAGGGTATGCTGGGGACTGCAGTTGGGGCTGAGCAGCCCAGTCACAGCCCTTCCCAGGCCGGCCTGACCCTGCCTCGCGTCCTGGGCCTCACCTGACTCCCTCGGCGGCTGAGGCACGGTCTCGGAGACCCAGAACGCACATGGTAATGGCCACATTCACTTCCTGCACGTCCAGCTCCCGCCGGAGAGAACTGAAGAAGCTGTCCAGTGCGAACTTGGCTGCCGAGTAGGGGCTGGAGAAGGAAGTGGGCACCCGGCCTGGGGGCACAGGAGGGCAGTGGCTTAGCGGGTGAAGCCTTCCTGCCCCCTCCGGGTTCGCCTGCATCAGCCCTTGTGGCTTCCCCACGCCCTGGCCCACAGACACGCACCGAGCAATGAAGACACCACCACCAGGGAGCCCTTGCTGTCAGTCAGGCTTGGCAGCGCCGAAGACGTCAACTGCACGTAACTTAGGAAGTTCACCTGGAGGCGGCGACTGTGAGTCACCGGGCGGAGGAGGAATCCAAGCCCAGACGGGGAGGGGCGTAGGCCTTGATAGGCAGGGGCGGGGCTTGAGGACTGGGACGGCGTTCTAAATGTGGGAGAGTGGGAGCATTGGCCGGGGGACTGAGCGCCAAGGGGGCGGAGCCTAGAACCAGGAAAGGCGGGGTCCGGAGTCCCAAGGGGCAGGGCCTGATGGGAACGGGGAGACGGCGGAGTCCGGTGGGAGGGCGGGGCCAGGGCCACGAGTGGGGCGGAGTACCTGCATGAGCCAGCGTGTCGACTGGGAGCTGCGGACCCGCGTGCCTGCTGGGGAGGCGCCGAGGTGGTTCAGCACCAGGTAGTCCAGCCCTCCTGGCCCGGAGAGGCCCGTCAGCCTGGAGCTAGTCCTTGAGGCTCCATATCCTCCGGCCCTATGAAACACCGCCCCGAGCCCTGACCCCTGAACTAGCGAAGCTCCGGCCAGAGCACGGACTCAGTGAGTTCTGACCCAGGTACTGCCACAACTAAGATCAAAGAGAACCCGTTCTACTCCCTAACCAGGCTTCAACCTTCATCCAATGGCCCGGGTCCAGAGTTCCACCCACTGGATGGGTTCCACCCACTGGATGGGTTCCACCCACTGGATGCCATGAGGCTCCACCCCCTAGTCACGCCCCCGGAGCCATAAATCTCCGCCCTCAGACGGCTGTTACCATCACACCCCCGCCCCAATTTGGGTCTTGCCCCTAAAGCCTAGACCAAGGTCCCAGACTCCAGGCCCCGCCCCTCACCCAGCTTGTCCAGCGCAAACTGCACCACGCGCTCGGGCACCTCAGGGGAGGCCATGTCCGCAGCGATGTAGAAGACCTTGGGAGCGCCCAGCTTCCGGCAGTTCCCTACCACCTGGGGGGGCCAGATCTGCCCGTGGGCCCCTCCACCCCAACTGATCCCCCTCCACCTGTCGGCTCCATGAGGGCCCCAGCCTGAAGCCTCTCCTCCCCTTCAATGAACCTCGGATTCCATTTAACATTATCCCCAAAGCTTTACCACTGGGATAGAAATCTGGCAGCTCACGGGCGAGAATGGGGGACATTTTCGCTTGTTCAATCATCAAAATTTAAAATTCAGGAGATTTCAAATAAATCTTGAGATTGCTGGCCTCTTGAAGTTTTGGAAGGTTTGTCCCCAGGAGATGTTATTTATGTAAGGAGAAACGTTTACCCACCTCACTTTTGCCCTTGAGAACCTGAGCTATCAGCACAGCCTTTGTTCACTATCATTACTCTCCTTCAGTGAGAAAAACTCGCTTTACAACTATCTTACTGCTTCAGTCCCACACCAGCACCCAGGAGAAGGTACTTTTCTTGTCTCTGACTCGCAAATAAGGAAACTACGGCTCAGAGAGATTAGGTGACTTGCCCAACATCACATAGGAAGCCCGAATGCTTATAGGGCTTCAAACTCAATCCCTGTTCCCCACTCCCCACCCCTGAGATGAAGTGTCTCACCTGCTGCAGGAAAGCTTCGGTGTGGGCAGTGAGCACTAGGTGGGAGCCTAGGCGCGCGTAGTGATACGCCAGCTCTTCCCCTACGCCGGCACTGACTCCGGTCAATAGCACACGGGCTCCCTGGAGGCTGGCTGGCAGTGAGCAGGGGTGGTCAGCTCAGGGGATGGACAGGATAGCCAGACCATCCCTCCCTCCTCCACACCCGGGAACTTACCTGGGTCAAAGTTGTCATCCCAGTAATAGGCAAAGAACAGGGCTCCCAGCCCCGTGAGGAGCAGCACCTTCATGGCCCTCCCTGGGTCTGCAGTGGGAGAGAGGGTGGCCCACACAGGCCTGGCCCAGAGTTAAACCCCAGTCACACCCATTTTCCCAACGGTGTCTTTGTTCGAACAGCAAGTGATGATGTCCCCAGCCCTGGCCCTGGCCCCTTTTTAATGTCTCCATAGCTACCACCTGGTCCAGGTCATCATCCAGCTCACCTGAGCCACTGCAGCAATCTTCTTACCTGCTGAAAACCCTGCCTGTTTCACTTAGGACAAAAGGCGGGTGATCAAAAAGACCCTGCTTGGATCAGCCCCTCTCGTTCACTCTGCTTGGCCACACTAGCCTCGTCACTGATCATAGGAACCAGCCAGTCACCATCCTGGCTCAGGGCCTCTTCACCAGCTGTTCCCTCTGCGAGGATGCTCTTCCCAAGTACAACCCAATTGCTCTCTCTTTCAAGTCTCGCAGCCACCACCTCAGAGGGCACTTGCCCGGCCTCCTTCTCTACAGCACCTCTCTTCCTGATCCTCCTCTGTTCCTTACCTGTGGAACATTCATCTCCTTCTCAGTACTTGTCATCCCCTGAAATGATGATTTATTACCTGCCCAGGCTCCTTCTCTCCCCTTAGACTCACTTCCATGAGGGCGGAAAGGAAAAAGAAACCTGCTTCTGTTTTGCTCACTTTTTTTTTTTTTTTTAATGTTTTGGCCATGCTTCATGCAGCATGTGGGATCTTAGCTCCCCGACCAGGGATAGAATCCAAGCCCCCTGCAGTGGAAGTGCAGAGTCTTAAACCCTATACCACTAGGGAAGTCCCTGTTTTGCTCACTTTTGGATCTTCAGTGCCCCAAACCACCAGACTTGTAGCAGGTGCTCAATAGATAGACTGATCCAGAGCGATATGAGGAATGTGGGAGGTGAGAAATGGGGGAGCCCAGAAAGACAACTCTATCTGGAGACACCCAGAAGGAATTGGACACTCAGGACTAGCTTGGAGATGGAGGTGTCCATTTTATCAGGGTCAAGATGTGACTTCAGCTGTGGGAGTTGATTTACTTGTATCTCAGGGAGAAGGCATAAGAGAGAAAAGCCAGCTAATTAAAGTTCAGGTGGTCATGGGTTTCCCCTGAAAAGGGCACAGGCCCATTCCATCTTGGGGTTTCTATCTGAACTGCACGGGCAAAGATTAGAGGCCATAGGGATCTCTGTCCAAAAAAATTTGGCATGTCTCTTGCTGCTCCAAACCCTTCGAGGGTTCACCACTTCCCCGAATGGAGACACAGCAGGTCTGGCCCCTGCCTCCCTGTCCATCCTTATCTCCCCCACTTCCCATCCATAAATCTACCAATTCTCAGAGAAGTGAACTCCTCGCCTTAACCCAGTTATGGCAGCATCCCCTCAGCAAAGAACGCTCTCCCACCTCTCCCCATTTCCAGGGAAAGCCTTGAAGCCCCTCAGCCCAACAACCTTCTCCTCAACCCGGTCCTGATCACAGCAGCCCCGCAGCGGTTACCTGGCAAGCTAGGTGGGCGGGGGGGGGGGGGGGGGGGCGGCGGCGAATGGATGAATGGGTGGATGAAATAGCTAGGTTGTGAAGGGGGCTGAAAAGGGGGAACCCAGATCCTCGCAGAACCCACTGGCCTCCTGACATCGCTGGGCCTGAGTTTCTCCTCTAGACAAAGGGGGCGTGCCACCCACTTGCACGTTCCCAACCGCGCATTCACTCACTCAGGTTTGTTTCTCCCAACGTCCAGAGGGGCCGGGGGCCGGGCTTAGGAGCCGCGCGCGCGCCCCTCCACCCTCACTTCACGGCCGTGTCCCCGGGGCTCGAACCGCGCCCCCCGCGTAGGGTCTGAGTCACGTGACTCCGAACCCCCGCCTCCTCGCGGGGAGGGGCTAGACGGGGGACTCAGCTCCAGGCATTGCCAGGCAACAGCCTCCTGCTAGCTCTTCCCCTAACCCCACCCCTTAGGGAAGCCCCAACCCCGACTCGATCAAGTGACCAAAGCCCCGCCTATCAGACAATTCCGCCCTCGTGTTGCCGCGACAACCGGCAGGCAGACTCTTCCTAAGCCTGGGCCCATAGTATGTCGCGCGGGCGTGGGTGGATCTCCTGGGCTCTGGCATTTTGTGGATCTCCCTCAGGCCTCACTCAAGACACCTGAGTTCTATTTCCTTCACGTCACCAGGGCCGTGTCGCGCCCGACTGCATTTCCCAGGAGCTTGGCAGCTAGACGAACCGTCCGGCGCCTCACGGGAAGTGATGACTCCTTTTCCCAGACAGCTTTGCGGTGGCCGGTCCTTGAGGAGACGCGGAGACGTCTTTTGCAGTCGGACCGCAGCCCACCTTTGGTTTCTCGGAGCCGAGACTCCGACTCCCGGAAGCCTTTGCGGCTGACAAGAGACTACGCGTCCCAGAGGCCCCTGCGGTGCCGCAACCGGAAGCGGCGGGCGAACTGAGTGTCCTTGCGCGCGGAGCCGAGCGATCATGGTACCCCGAGTTTGGTCTCTGATGAGGTTCGTGGGGTCACCGGGCGGGCCTCAAGCCCCCGAAGATGTTCCCTTCTGCGGGCACCCGGCATCTGGTTTGCTCCCGATCGCCTCTTTGCTGCCCATAGTGTCAAATCTCCCGTGTCTGTTCAGACAGGGTGGAGCTTCTCCACTTCCCGCTTTCTAGCGAGTTCTTGCCTTCGCACTCTGTATACTAGACCCCTCCGTGTCTCAGTTGCCGGCTCTGTAATATGGGAGTGCCGCACGCATTTGTTGCGAGGTTAAAGAGACACTTAGAAACCTCCCGCGGGTTCCTCTCGGAGCATTCCATGGGAACTGGAAGGTAGAAGATGGTCAGACGTCTTAAGCCTTAACTTTCCCCTGGCCTCTGCGGGATCTCGAGTGACACCTTCCCTCTGCATGCTTCAGTGTACCAGTTAAATGGCGCTGGATATTCCTGCACGCTCTAAATTAAGTGCTGTGTGTCAGGCCCGCCTCTGGGCTCCCAAGATGCCCCGCGCTTCCCCCTTTAGCTGCCTGGCTTCAGGTGTGTCCCTCTTTAGACTGTGGGCACCTTTCCCCTAGGAGTCTAACCCCCACCCCCACCCCTGCAGACCTGGACCTGGGAGGTGGCCAGCCGTGTCTGTTCAGCTACTGTGGTTCCTTTCTCTGCCGGCAGGTTCCTCATCAAGGGCAGTGTGGCTGGGGGTGCTATCTACCTGGTGTACGACCAGGAGCTGCTGGGGCCCAGTGACAAGAGTCAGGCGGTCCTTCAGAAAGCCGAGGAGGTGGTCCCCACTGCCGTGTACCAGTTCAGCCAGTACGTGTGCGAGCAGACAGGCCTGAAGTTACCACAGGTACCCTGAGCTGGTATTGAGGCTGTGCCTGGGAGGGAGCAGGGGTGACAGCTCTGTGATGGCCTTTGATCCCGGGTCCTTCAGCCCTGCTTGGCATCCTTGGCATTGAATGCTGCTCTCCTGGCCAGTGAGGGAGGCTGGCCCTGCCAGGTCTTCTTTCACCAGCCCCTTCTCCCCTTCTCTCCCCAGCTCCCAGCCCCTCCAAAGTTTAACTTTCACATCCGCGACTCTTGGAATTCAGGTAGGCCCTGGTCCATCTGCATGCAGGGGAGGAGCCCCAGATACCCCCCATATCCTTTCCTGGCCATTCCTTTCCATCACTAGCTTTCCTGTTCTTTGTACAAACCCCCTCCCCTAGAGCTAAAAGAGACAAGGGGTGGAGATTCCAGGGAGTGGGGAGCAATGTGTGACCTCCATGTTTCCCTGCATGGAACTGATAGCTGGTAGTGGTACCCTTAAAAGTCTCTGCTCAAAGTGCCTGGCCCTTCCTCCCCACAGGCATCATCACCATGATGTCAGCTCTGTCCGTGGCCCCCTCTAAGGCCTGGGAGTACTCCAAGGAGGGCTGGGACTACCTGAAGGAGCGAACCAAGTAGCCTGTCAGAGGAAGCTGTCTGCCCCAGGCGGGAACAGGGGCAGGGGCGCCACGAACACCAGAATGGGACCCAACTGGGCAGCTCCTGGCCTTGCTGGCCCAATAAAGGACTTGGAAGTGTTCCTCAATCCATGTGCTGGACCCCCGGGAAATGGGCTTCTGGCTCCTGGGGGCCTGACCTTGATCGAAGGCCAAGATCCACTCCTTTGTACCTGGACCCTGCCCACCAGTGGGCCCTTGACCTGGTAATGGGGACTGGGAACAGACCATAGCCCTTGGGCTCAGGGTTCAGAACATGCTGAGGGCCCATCTGGGTCTGGGGTCTCCTTGGTTTTTGGAGGGCTGAGCATAGGGTGGCACAGTCTAGGGGCAAGGGCTGATCTACACAGCCTGTAGATCTCAAGCCAGCGAGGAAGCCCCCACAGCTGCTGATTCTCCTTCCTGCTCAGCTCACTAATCTTCATGCCTGGTCAAGTCCCTGCCTCACCTGGTTTCCACTCTCATTCCACCCTCTCCAACCTGAGGATTGCTGGGGAGCACAGTCCTGGTGGTCATGGTCTCCCTGGCCCACAAGGGCCCTGACTTCCAGACATCCTGCTCCCCTGGGAAGCCTTCTCTGACACCCTATGCCTACTCTGGGTCAGCTGCCTGGTGACCCACATGTCTCTCGATCCAGCAGGAGCTCTGGGGAGGGTGGACCCTTGAAATGCTCCCTGTGAGGTCCCCAGCACCCAGCCGCAGAGGGCATCCCACCATGGTGACAGCAGAAGACCTCTGCCGCTGACAGGGTAGGAGGTGGATGTGGATGGGAGCCAGAGCCTACCCTGGGAGCAGGGAGCAGGCCTGGGTAACGACTGGTGCCCTGAGCTGGCACAGGATTGTCTGTCCCCAAGAGTTCTTGGGTTCATGTCACTCTAGGGGATGGAGCTCACTCAGGACCGTGAGCCAGGAGGGGAGAGCAGTGTTACAGATGAGGGAGGCAGAGATCAGAGGCCAGGGTGTCTCCTAGACTTACCTGAGCATAGAAGACTGTACACATCTGTCCATGTATTCAGCCAGGAAGGGGTGGGGAGGGCTGTGTGCTTGGGAAAGGGCACATGTCCCTGCATGACCTGTGCCACCCTGGTCATGATCTGACAGCCTGGAGACTGGTGCTGCTCTTGACCTCTGTGCCCTCATCGTCAGACCCAGATTCCTCTCCTTCGACTTTGTTGCCAGTGACCAGCTCCCTGCTGGCCCCACCTCTGGGACCACCCTCTCCATCTGTTCCCCATAGACGATGTCTGATGACATCATGGACCTTGCTCACACACCTGTGGCTCCCCCACCCCTGAAACTCCTCAGAGGGGCCCCACCTCCCCTCTGTCCTTCTGGGACACACCAGGAACCCTCAGTTCCCAGAACACAGCTGCCTTTCCCCTGTTGTGCGGCCCCTCACTAGGCCATCTTTCCTCCTGGCTGACTCCTGTTCATCTGCCCCTGGCTTAGACGCCTCTCCAGGAAGCCTCCCCTTGCCTGCTTTCTCCAGTGCTCCTCAGTGCCCCACAGCAGCGCCCACCACCTCGGGGCACATTTCCTCAGCTCGGCATCACTGACATCCAGGGAGGATGAATTTGAGTTGGGGTCATCCCAGGCACGGTGTCCAGCAGTGTCCCTGCCTCCAACCCCCAAAACACCACTGGCACCTTACCCCCCACTCATGACAACCACCAATGTCTTCTGGTGTTGCCAACTGTCTTCAGGAGACACAACTGCCCTATGTGGCTGAAAGTCCAACGTGGGTCTTAGCAGGCTGGAATCCAGGTATATAATGCTTCCTTTGGCAGACTGTGGGGCGTGGGGGTCTGTTTTCTGTCTTTTCCAACTTCTAGAGGCCACTGCCCCTTACTCCACCCTCACAGCCAGCAGGGTTGTCTTTCTCTGTCATGTCTCCATCTTGCCCCTCTGCCTCCATTTCCCTTGTAAGGACACTTCCAATAACAGGACCCTCCTGGGGGACTCCAGGCGCTCTTTTGTGTGAAGGTTCTTAACTGAGTCCTGTCTGCCAGGTCCCTCTTGCCCAGGCAGTATGGAGGAATTGACAGGGATGTGCCTGGCCTGGTGGAGGTGTATCTAGCCGACAGGTGAAAAGGCCTGTCCTGTGTCCGTCTTCCCTTGACTGTGGGCACTGGGGAACGGGCCCAGGCAGCCTTGGTTATTGGTACATCTCAGCCTCCAGAGAGGGCCAGGCCAGACCCTGAGTGTGAGAGATGGAGCCAAGAAGCAGGCCTTTGATCACTACTCCCTTAATAGTGGAGTGGGGTGCCCCCAGGCCCATCTACACAGACCCAGGGCCACTGGAGACAAGGCACATAGCTGACCTAGGGAGGTGGCACTACCCCATTACACACTGCCTTCTGCAGTAAACCTGGCCACCCCTGGAGTCCAGGCAGCCCTTGATCCCTCAACACACCTGTACCTTGCGTGGAGTGAGACCCCCTCCCCACTCCTCCATCCTGGTAACTTCCCTTCCACTTGGGCCTTGCCCACCCCGCCCAGGCCTACTTTATCATCTGGTGTCCAGGAGCCCTTCTGCTCCTATCACAGCACACGTGGTTGTCTGCCGTTCACAGTAGGACACAATCCCACTCACGAGGTCCCTAGAGGTCAGATTTCAGAGACAAAAAGTAGATGGTGGGAGCCAGGGTGCTGGGGAGTCAGTGCTTGATGGGGAAAGAGTTTTAGTTTGATAAGAGAAGTTCTAGAGATGGACGGTGGGAACAGATGTATTATGCAGAGAATATACACAATGCCACTGAATTACACCCTTAAATAATTAAAATAGTAAATTTCATGTTATGTGTATTTTTACCACACAAAACCCACATAACATCCCATGCAGCATCTCATATATGGAGGCAGAATGTGGGCGATGGGAACAAACACTAGGCCCCCAAGGCGAGACGGGTGGCTGAGATGCACAACCCAGACAGTCCTCTCCTCTGAACTCCAGGCCTGGGCTCATGTTGGGCGTGCTGCTGGCAAAGTGCTTCTGGAAAAACCAACAGTCCCTGAAAGCTGCCCCCCATTCCATCCTCCTTCCCTGAAGGAAGAGCTGTAGCTTAACATCGATGAGTGTAATTTCATTTTACTTGAGGTAAAAAGACACAACACTTTAAATAAAGGGTACTGGAACAGAAACACATTTATTACAAAAAACCAAAAAAAAAAAACAAAACAAAAACCAATTTCACATTGTATTGAGCTACAATATGGCAGCAGATAAAAAAAAAATTATTGTACACAGTTTAAGGGAACTCTTAACAGAACATATTCTTGTTGCCACGTGACGTGTAACACAGGAGCCCAAGCACTTAATAGCGGCGAGTGAAGTGGGCGTCGGTGGGTCTGCTCCCAAAGCCACCTCGCGGGATCACGTGGCCCCGAGAGGCCCCCCCAGGGGCAAAGCTGCCGCGCCTGGAACAAAGGCAGATTGTGTTTGTTTTCCCTCAGTGGGCTCTGCCCTGTGCCCAGTCTCTCTGGGGCTTTCTTCCCTCCCAGGGTGGCACCACCAAGGGTCAGAGGTGCACCCTGTGAGCAGCACTGACACCCGCCAGAGCCTACAGGCAAAAACGAGACCAATGACAGTCCTTACCCGGACATGCCTCCCCGGTTCATCATGTGACCAGACATACTCCTCTCACCGCCTGCAAAACAAGAAACACTCTTCACACAGTGCCCTGGGGCACAAGACAAGGAGTTCAGAGGACACAGGGCTCAGACTCACGGCTCCAGTCCGTTTTAAGACTCAGGTCCCTGGTGGATATGTGGGCACATAGGTTACACACACCCACAGTCCTCGCCAAGTCAAGGCAGAGAGAGAGGAGCTATGGCACCCACAGGACCCCTCCCACCCACCCAGTGCACAAAGAGCAAGGCCGAGTGGTGGGCAAAGCAGAGTGCCTCTCCCACCCTCAGGAGCAGGGGCACCTCTAGCTGCCCGGTGCTTCTCCACAAAGACGCTGCAGGTCCGCTGAGGACCAGTCCTCACCTTGCCACCTCCTGTGGTCCCTGTCCATCATGCCTCCATCAGCAGCGCCCTGCCAGGCACGGTCCTCCTCTATTCTGCGGCCGTGGTCCCCCCACTCTCGTCTGCCCCTTGGAGAAAGACATCTCTGATTTGGATTGCCCCCATCTTGGCCTTCCAGGACAGCAACAACACTGGGTTTGGGAAGGTTGGTTGGCATTTTGTGATCCCAGCCCTCTGAGCAATGGAGGGCTGCGGGGAATGGAACTGGCACTCGGTCCAAGGCTATTCAGAGAGACTGGAAACAGCCTGGGCTGCAGAGCCCGCACTCAGCTTATTTCCAACACCAGGAGTCCTCAGCTGGATACACCAATTAGGCCAGCTGAATCTGAGGCCCTGGTGGGCTCCATGGGACATGGGTCACAAACCTGGGTGGAGGAGGGAGCCCCCGGCCCTCGCTCATCCTCTTGTCAGAGCCATAGCCGCCCCAGCCATCACGGGAGTCGCGGCCATGGCGCTCTGGTCCTCCGTGGCGTTCAGGGTAATGCTGGATGTCAAAGGGCCAAGATAAAAGATCTTAGTATAATCCTGAATCCCACAGCCTCTGGGCAACAAGTTAATAATGACAAGGATGACAACTCAGACAGAAGCCCCTGTAGGTCTGAGACAGTGCCAAAAGGCACTCACACACAGTCTGGGGTCTGGAGGCCTTCAGCTGGCACGACACAGCTGCACCTGGAAATCTGCTCACAGCCTGGGCAGCAGAAGCGCTCATGGAGCCCAAGACTGAAATAGGTGCTCCCTAACCAGAAGGCAGAGGTTCGGGCACCCATGGACCAAAGGGTGGTGGGGTCAAGTGGTTGACCCACAGCAGGAAAAGATCACGATGTGCCAGGTGCCTGCATGCAGAATATAATCATGGAGTCACCAGGGATATAACAGCCTTTTGATTTCAGGAGGACACTGTCTAATCAGATGACAGAAGCCATCCATGTTCAAGAGCAGCATGGCAGGACTGGATAGACACACGCAAGTCATCTTAACACCTCCTGCTCCCTTACACAGCTGGAGAAACAGGCTGAGGAGGAGTGGGAGCACCAGGATGTGACCCTGCTCTGGATCCCAGAGCGGGACATGTAACCACCATGTTGTTGCTCAACGTCTCCACCACAGGAAACCCAGGACACCAGAGGCACATTCAGCTGTGTGTGAGACATACCTCTGGGATGAGAGAAACAGGAATCGCATGAGGGTCATGAACTGCTCCTGAGGCGGCAGAAAAGGCCTCAGGAGCTTGGTCACTCCCAGCCATGTTCTCAAGCTTGGAGGGAGGTGGACAGTATATCAAGGTGCTGTGGTCAGGGAGAACACCAACCCCCAGGGTGGCGACTCTGTCTGCTGAGTAACGCCTTGACCACAACCTTCCCTCATCTTTTCCATTCTCCAAGGAACCCACTAAAAAGTCAAGGCTCTTTGGAGAAGTTTCTCAAGCTAAATATGAGAGAAAAAAAAAAGGATAAAACTGAACTTGTTTTCTAATGTGTTAAAGAAAAAATGCTTGGGGAACCACTGACACTCCAGGTGCACCTGAAGCCCATGACATGAGGCATCACATCTGGCCAGCACCGTGGGTCACATGGAACGTTCCAACAGACCCTACCAGGCTCACGCAAAGCTCTCCAGCACTTTAGTACCCAAGTAGTCACAAAGATGTGTACAACGTCACGGTCAAGGCTATAGGAGGCTTCAGAATACCTACTTGAATTCTGGGCCAGCACAAAGTGCAAGCTATTCATTCATGCTGTTGTTCCACAAAGTTTGCAGGTGCCACACTCCCTTACTCCTTATTACTCTAACTTGGGTGGAGAAGGAAGCAGGCATGCAAAAGAAAAGAGAATCAACTGTACAGGGAAAACTGGCTAAAATCACAGCTTCTGACTTACCTGTCCTTCTCTTTCTCCCATGATTGACCTTGAACCTTCTCTCCTGAAAAAGGCAATTCAAATGAAATCATGAGGAGAAACATAGGTTGGACAGATCCCCAAATGGAAAAAATTTCCCAAGTTGAACTTAGGTAGTTCACACACCCACTGCTGGTTCAACTGGGCTTGAGACTGCCGCTTGAGATCTTCATTATGAATGAACAGTGACCAAAAAAAAAAACAAAACAAAAAAACACCAAACCAAAAACAGGACAGGGAATGTCCCTGTGGCCCGGGGGTTAAGACTTAGCCTTCCAATGAAGAGGATGGGGGTTCCATCCTTGGTTGAGGAGCTAAGATCCCACATGCCATGGAGCAATAAAACCAAAACATTAAAAAAAAAAACCCAAAACATAAAACAGATACAACATTATAACAAATTCAGTAGACTTTTAAAATGGTACACACACACACACACACACACAGAGAACAGAATGAACCAGGGCAAAAAACCCAAAAAACCCCATGAATTAAGTGGCCAGGGTGAGTGGCTGACCTGTCAACAGAGTGGTCAGGGTAGCGGCCCCGGTCCCTGTGGTCAAAGTCGTGGAAGCGGTCCTGACGGTTGAAGTCAGAATGGTAGCGCTCATCCAGGGCTGCCCGCTTAGCTTCCGGCCAGTATGCATCATCTCGCCTGGGGTGGAGGGGGGGGAAGCATGGATGACCTCTGTGGAAGCTGGTAAAATAAACTCTCGAACATTCCAACTGCCCCATCACCTCACAGAACGAGAACTAACTTTATCCAGAGTCCATTCATTCTCTGCCACTAGAGCCAAGAGCGCCTGGAGGGGTGATATGGGATGTGACTGAACAGCTCCATTCTCTCATCCAACATACCTGAGTCCCCCAAAGAGAAAGCTCAGGTCTCGTTACCTGAGGGGTAAGAAGGGGATCCCCAAGTAGGGGATCAGTGAAGTGGGTGTCAGATCCCTCTGGGAACTGCTCATGGCCACAAGGGTAGGCAAGTCTATTAGGAGAGTTAGTGCACTAACTGTTCTGCCCCATGCAGACTTGACCCAGGAGACACCCAGTGCAGATGACTATTAGTAGCACTTGCAATGTACCTGTTCAAAACCATTTAGATCACTGCAATGATTTCAAAGCCTGTAAAGTGCGTGTGTGTCCATCTGTGGTGGTACTCAAACCTAATGATCTAATAAACATCACTTTCACCCACTGTTTCTCCAAAAATCTCAAACTACCTCAGGTTTCCATATAAAGTACAGAAATATCAAGTTGAGCTGTAGCAAACACTCATGCTTTTTTCCCCCTTGTGCTTCTTTTCAAACAAAAATCACTCATTAACAGGGTTCTGTGGAACATGGCACAGTTCTAAATGTCACGGGCCACCTTAGGGGTGGCAGCGCACTGTGGCATGGCTTACCGCCCATAGTCATAGGGCCTGCGGACGGCGGGCCGCCGCTCCTGCTCATAACGCAGCTCCTGCTGGCGCCGCAGCTCCTCGCGCTCGTGGTGGATGCGCTCCTGCTCACGACGGCGCTCATGTTCCACCCGCCGACGCTCCCGCTCCAGCCGCTCCCGCTCCATGCGCTCCCTCTCCAGGCGGTGTCTGTGGAAGGCCAGCCTCTCACGGGCAATGAGCAGCTTCTTGCGTTCCTGCCGCTCCAACTCTGCCTGCATGGACTGCTCTCGCTCACTATGCTCGCGCAACCTGCAAGCAGAGTAGAGGCTCCAAGGACCACCGAGCTGCAGCAGTGCTCCCAGGTGGCAATGTGGGGGGTGGGGGCGGGGCGGCCTCGAACTGCAGATACATCAGGCTAATTTTTGCTTATTTATTTCAAATCAACTTTATTCCTGTCACACATCTTTGGTCTTTCAGTGCTGAGAAGGGAAATTTTAATTTAGTCGACTCCTTTAAAAATTTTTAGTCCTTTCAAAAGCTCAAACTCAAACAGATTTACTTTTGCATCAAACAAATGAATTTAACTTTTATGTTTCTGTGCAGCAGCAGTTTATGTTGACATGGGCGTCAGTGATGTGAGCCAGAGACCCAAAGATGGTCCGAAGGCAGAGGCCAGTGACTTGAAGCCACTGAGGAGAGCCTGTCCTTCTCTCAATACTGGGAAATGTCATGACAAATATTTCTATCACGTTAAAGTAAACACGCATTAGGGTCGGTTTCACTGATCTATTTGCCAGTTACTTCACCAAAACTACATCTGGCTGATATGTGTGTTGCCCGAATTAGTCATCATGCATGGCTCCCAACTCACCTGCGAGACTCCGAGTCTCTTGACTTTCTTGACTCTTTGACTTCATCAAAGGACACAACAGACCGCTTTTCTCTGCTGGCCGATTTGCGATCCTGGCTCTTAGACACCTGGTTCACCACGAAGCATTGACAAGTTAAACCAGTAACAATCAACTGTGTCCAGGCCCAAGCAGCCAAGATCAGAAATGAAGCTGAACAGCGAATGAAACAATCAGGTAACACTGTATTATCTCTATAGAGAAACCTCACCTTGGCTCACCAAAATTGAGCCATAGACTCACTACCAAGCTAAACTGGGATCCATTGCCTACTTTCAGTAGTCAACACTGAAAAGAGAATTTTCTCAGAAACTTTTCATTTGACATTAAAAAAACCAAACTTTTTACCATTTTGTCAAGTGCACCCAAACACATTCTTTAATATTAATCACGCAATGGTGTCCAATCAAGGCCACTTCTGCCATGTCTGAGGATTCCTTATTTGTGCAAAGGGCATTAATTTTTGACATCTATTCATCTTAGCCCTTGAATCCACACTTCGATTTTTGCATTTGATGTCATTTGTTAAAAAGAAGGAAGAAATGATCTAATACAGTAAAATATTTGCACAAACATAGTACAGATATGAAATGCCGTAACAGAACTCTCGGCTTGTAATTGGTCCACAACATTCATGAGCTTACATGGCTGGTCATCTAGCCAGCACAGGTTAACATGGCAGGCCTGAGGCTAGCGGTGGGAACCTTGGCATTCAGAGTACCCTAGTCAACAGTTAACTGGCAAAGGTGGCTCACTGTGCCCTGACCATGCAAACGATGGTTTATGCTGAACACCTGCTTTCCTCTGGGAGTCAGGAGAGGGTCTCTATGTGACTAGCCCCAAGTGAAAGGCCTGGGGACTGCAGCTGTAACGGGGCTCCCCGGGCAGAAGCATGACCCTTGTGCTGCTGCACTGTCCCTGCCTGGGGAGCCATCAGCGCTCCCTCCAGACTCTGTCACCTCCCTGCATCCCTGGAGCCAACCTTAGGCGTAACTACAACTACTTGCTGAGCCCAGTGGGACCCCAAGTGGATCTGGAAATGTGGGTAGTCTTGGGGACCTGGGCCCACATCCATCCTAGTTGTAAGGCTGTCAAAGAGTTGAATTATGAACATCCAGAGCTGCCCATGACTCTAAAACAGCAGGCAGAGTGAAGTGGTAAGAACCTAAGGTAAGTGCCCACTCTGTGGATTCTGTGGCTCTATGGAGCGTCTGCACGGAGACAATGCACGGAATGAGTAAGGTGGAGATTGGGCACAGAGGCAGCCAGAAGGCCGGCTCCGCCAAGTGTGGGTTACGAATGCACAATGGAGAGCTGCTGAAACCCGAGGCCGGCAATGAACATGGACTGCTGTGCCCAGATGCAGGCAAATAAAGCCAATCACATCCATAAGTGAATTTTGAAATGGTGTCTTTTTTTTTAAAAAAAGGGGCAGTAATTCTTATCGAAACTAAGGAAAGCCTTTAAACTTTCTCAATTTTAAAGTTCTAAAAAACTCTCCATTTTCAGAAGACTGACAAGCTTTCCTCAAATTAAGCTCAAGAATCCCCTAAAACACACAGAGAACTGTCAAAGGAAATAAGCCAGGCAGGAAGAGAATACTCACTCGCTCTTTGGATCCCAACGTTTTGACACTGATAACAGGCACACCTTTAGATTTATCCATCACCACAGTCCGTTCAGTTCCTCGGCTTCCTGTAGGAAGAGAGGAGTCAGGTAAGAAGGGACACCTCCTATTGAGAGAAGAGTACTCAACTTCAAGGAAAACAAATGTAGTTTGTGTTGCCCATTAACCACACCAGCCAGGAACAGAAGCCAGGGTGCAATCTCTCACACCCACTGGTCAGCTACCTGACTTTGTGGCTCGAGAGCGCTCTGAAGAGCCAGGTTTCTGATCATCCTGGTCTTCACTCTTCTCTCCACTCCCGTCTTCACCCTTTTTAGCATCATCTTTTCTGTCAGCCTTCTCTTCCCTCTTGACGTTGGCTGATCTATAAATGGCATGCAGATACAGATATGTGTGAGATGCAACACTGGGGGACCAATCCAGCGAAGACTCCTGCAATGAATACCGAGTGAGGATGGGGCTGCCTTGCAGGCATCAACAGGTTGCAGAGCACGCAGCCTAGGAGAGGAACTGACATCTCTGAGGACTGGCGGGAAAATCCTCCAACAAGTGCACAGAAGGCAAGGGGGCGAAAGCCTCAGAGCCTTTCCCACCCGTGGAAAAGTGAGGATCGAGACATGAAGAGAAAGGTTATCTTGTTCATAATCCCCGCGAGAAGACTCATACCTGTCAGTATTGCTAGATTTTTCTTTTTTCCCCTCCCCTTCTCTTCTCTCAGAGCTTTTCTTCCCAGCAGGTTCATTTTTCGCCTAAAAAAAAAGAGAATCAGGTAGAAGTATTACCTTATTTCCTAACGTGGTCAGATCCCAGGAGGAAAATGGCCCCTTACTTTTTCTACTGAGATCATCTTTCCATGGAGCTCTGTTTTGTGCAGGTGGTTAATGCATTTTGTGGCCTCTTCTGCCGTGGACATGGTAACGAAGCCATAGCAGCGTGCTCCAGGACTCCGGGCATTGGTCACAACTTTGGCGCCCACCACCTTGAAGGAAAACACACATGTATATCTCATACACGAAGCCCCCACACAGACCCCTACACTGTGGTTCATGCCACTTCCAAGAGACGCCAAGAACAGGTGGATGACAAGTGGCAGGTAAAGGCTGTGGAGGGCAATGCTATAGCCTGGCTGCTCCTATTCCATCCTGGCTGTTTTTCTAGGGGACCAGGATGACAGTGAAGTGGAGAGAGGAGAGTGAAGCTGAAGGCAGCGTCCTGCCAGAAATCCATTAATACTATGTAAGCCTTGAAGGGAAATGTTTCTAAATATTCAGTCAGCCAGATGGACAGTGAAGTTAGAAGACACACCTACAGAAGGAGAGGGACATAGGACAGGTTTACAAAGAGCACTCTGGAACGCAGAGCCCACCCTATTACTCACAAAATTCAAAGAGATGTTTCAGGTGCTACAGATACATCCTCACATGCTAGATGTAGTTAACGGATCCAACAGCAACAGTAAACTGAGGCTGGGGACGCCCATTTATGAGAGAAGGCCCATGGCTCAGAAGTCCCAGTATGTCAGGGGCCATGGCTGATATTCATCTTTATTGTGCCACATGAAATCTGAGCCCCAAAATAAGGATTCCCAGGAGTTTGGTCCCGATTCAATCCACGTTAAGCCTGCAGTGCACCCAAGACACTGCAGGCTCCAGACGGACACTTCCCTGCAGAGAGCAGACATCCGCCCTAAGGGCCACTACAGAATCAAGAAAAGGGTCCCACTATGTAATGCAGATATCCAGGGAGTTTTGAGTTACTGTGAGCCACATGTCAAGCTTTGTTTTCCTTGTTAGTTCCTGAACATCAACAGCCAAGATCAAAGATGGTTTTCTCTGTTATCATTTCTAAATCCTAACTGTGAATGAGGGCCTGTGCTAAATCTTACTTGGCAAAGCAGACTGAAGACAAGAAGGCATGGGCATGGCAGCTTATCTGGAGGTGAGTCCAGGAAGCACTGGGAGGAAGGGGCGGGGGGAGAAAGGAAGAAGAGGCAGCACTCAATGAGTATGTGTGGGGGCCCCACCTGGGCATCATGTCCACCCTTTGTGGGCCGAGGAAAGAGAGAGGGAGACAGGCAGGTATGGCACAGGTGGCTAGAGTTACTCAGCCTAGGGGGAAAACACGGAGCAGAGGCGGGGCTCCCACAGCTCTTGAGAGCCCCAAGTGTAGAGAGGAGACTCACATGGGACCGGCAACATGCCCCAGGCACACCACTCTGTGCTGCAGAGCTGAGGCCTACAGCTGCTCAGAGGAGTCTAGTTCAAAGATCTTTTGTTCATAACTTATCTAGCTTCTCTAATCACTATTACTCACAACAATGGGCCACCCAGTCCTCCCCACCCAACAGCCATCCCTCAATAGGTTTAAGGCCAGAGAAATGGACTCATTAAGTTATCAAATAATATGGTGGACTGGAGCCAGGAAAGCAGAAGATTTACAAAGTGGACATGGGCTCTGGGAACTCCCGCTGACCTCACAACTCTTTCAGTGGCGATGACGGGCCACAGGCCGGCAAACCTATGAGTTCAAAGAACCACATGGTGTCAAAAGTCCTCATTGCAGGGGACAAATCTACACGTAGAGGCCATACTGCATGAGCTCACAAGTAGCTTTGTCGGTTCTTACCTTCCCGTATTTACTGAAAAGATTCTTCAAATCTGTAGCTCTTGTGGTAGAAGAAAGTCCACTAACCCAGAAATTCCTTCCACAACTGCTGCGACCTATTTCAAAAGAAAAGTTCCGGTCAAAAACAAGATACAGACAAAATCCTGAGTCTTAAGTATCTTAGAGTCATTCTAAACCAGACACTCTCCCTACTTGCTCTAGAGACCAGCAGTACAGAGACGGCTGGGGCTGGAGGCCAGCCTGCTGCCCTGACATGGGTTCTGGAGCTGCCCATGGGGTGGATAGAACCGATGGCAATGTCCCTTACTACGACTGGTCAGGGGCCATTGGGCCCGTGGCTGGGGTAGCCATCAGCTACCAGATGGCACCACCCATCCCAGTGAGCTGACTCTGGAATGTAAGACAGGAGCTGACACTGTGGAACCTGAGATACAACCTCTCCCCAGTTTCCGGCCTTCTTTGAACACCAATTAAGGATGAGTCTGGCGCAACCAGCAAAATTACTTCTCAATCGGAAAATTAATAAAGGGCTCTGGCATTGATAAATTTGCCCTACCAGGGACCCACCAAACCCCAGTATGTGAAACTCGAAGCATTTTCTCCATCTGCATGTGTCACTGTTTCCAAGAAGTTCACAAATCAGAGGGAAAGTCAGATGGAGGAGCTCATAGGACTCTGGCAAAATCAAGTGTCCCAATCAAATCAAAGTGACAATTCCGCCCTGCAACCCAACCTGCAGAGTGAGGAAGCAGGTGGCCAGAGTGGAGAAAGGCTTCGAGGCAGGCTCACAGGCCTGTGAGGTATAAATGGGTGTGTGATGGGCTAGAGCCAACCAGAACCATCGCTCCTGGGGGTGCCACCCTGCTAACTTACCCTTCTCCTCTTTGGAAAGCTTTTTTGTATCCGAGTCATCTTCGACAGAACTAGAGACAAAAGACAATGTCACTCCAGAAGGAAGAAGCAGAGAGGAAACTAACTCAAAATTATAAAATATGTGCTGAGGTTGCATACCTACCCGAAATTTAGTTCTGAAATAAATGATACCCCTACAAACGTGTATTGGAAATCTGACCTAACCATAAGATTTCAGACCCACAGGAGTTAATTAATTCTGCTGGGCTAAAGATAATTAGGAAGAATTAAAGAAAACAACCATGATAGGTTGAGAAAAGAAAAAAGATTATGTAATCAGCTTAAAATAAACAGAGAAATCAAACATTCTTTAGAGATAAACTACAATTGCATCAGTCTGGCTGGCCAATTGCAGAAAAACAGCTCATGTGTGTCATTAAACGACCAATGAAAAGGAGATAGCGTCTGGTCTAAAACTGAGAAAAAACAAACCTCATTTTCTGATCAGCGCCCTCACTGGCTGAGGACTCTTTAGGAGCCGGAGGGACTTCATTACAAGCTTCAAAAGCAAACTTCTTCACGTCTTCTTTGCTATCCCCGGGGTCCGGGCTTGAGGCTTCCGGGGGCGCTTCCGCGGCCTCCTCGCTACAGGCTTCCGTGTGCTCTGAGGCTTTACTACTCTGCTCAATTGGCTTCTCTAGCCCTACAGGCTCACAGTCCGTCCTCTCGTCATCGCCTGTCTGCTCCACGGGCTCCCTTTTCACTACCGCTAACAGGGTGTCTGCCTTGCTCGACTGAGCGTGTGCTGTTGACTCGTTGGCCAAATCTAAATCACCCTCCTCCGGATGGGCGCTGTCAAAAAGGTCCTCTTCCTCCGCAAGCTTTCTGTCTGGCCCCACGCTACTTGTTTCCTGTGCAAATGGCTGCTCCAGCTCGGAACCTTCTTCTTTTACTGGCTCAGATTTACAAGTTTCCCCCAAAATGTCGAGTATTTTCTCATTTTCTACGGATTTAACAGGAATAGAATGGCACAAGGTTTAATTACCAGGGAAATAAAGCAATCACAAATGCGGAACTGGCACGGCGGCCACACTAACACGAAGAGAACTGCTAGCTACACAGAGATTGGAAAACCCGCGGGTACACAAACTTAACACTGGTTACACTACCTGCACTCCGACCGACTGCTAGAGTAAGCCTCTACGCTACATGGAAGAGAAAAGCATCCCAGAGATTTATTTAACCCCCAACACCTTCTGGCTGATTCTTGACAGTCTTCATTCTGTCGGCGTGTATATATGACTCTTCCAAATTTAGCTTCCAAAGTCCAAGTTGCTTAACTCAGTGTATCACCATTCACTGAACAGAGCTCAATTTCCAAATTTCTTTGAATTTCTTTTAACAGAACAGTCCGACATGAAAACCAGAATCTCTTCCATCGGTGCTCTGAGATATTTGTAGTCCAGAAAGTGAATAGTATTTGTTTGGAATTCTTATGAAGAAACTTTTTCTTCTTCTGGAATCCAGTTATGTCTCAATGCTTTAAAATGTTATCTCCCTACCACTGCCTGCACTGCCTGAATTAAAAACCACAAAATTAACACACTGCCCAATATCACAAGATCTGTTTTGTGGAATACAAAAGTATTAGCTTTTGAGAGGCATCCAAACTCTCTCTGTATCTGTTTAAGTGCCGTGTTCATTTAAAAAGGCATGAGATAGTCTCATCTCACCAATATGTTTTATAAAATGAGAAATCAGCCACTTTCACAGATCTGGTGATATGGCTGGGTTTCCAATCTCTATGATCCTGGTATGTTCTGGATTATAAACCTTTAAAACAATGTATACTATAGTAAGATAACTTTAATATTAAAGAATTCAAACAGAGAAAGTGGAAAACTAGAATGATTCCAAACCCCGTTGCTAAGTTTTTCATTTAACAGTACCTGGCTCCAAGGACGGCTCTTCAATTTCCTGCAAAAAAAACATAAATAAAATTGTGCCAGATGGATGAAACTTAGAATTTATTTACACTCCAAAGTATAACAACTAAGAAGGGAATTTTTAAAACACCGACAAGGAACCTCAAAAATGCAACAGGCGAAGGAACCTGCTTGTTCCAGGCAAGAGCCTGCAGGAGAGTTGGCGCTGCACTTCATCCACCGTGGCCCCAGGGGACTATCCATGTTTGTGGTTGCCCTGTGCTTTGCTGCATTTCCCAGTGCCTGGCAACATTATCACTTTTAATGGTGATGAACCCATCACATGGCTGTCTTTCTCAAGTGTCTTAAATGCCTGGATAGCTGTACTTTCAGTTTTATACTTTTATTGTCTAGCAGAATACCAGACACATTATACCAGATAATCATTTTTCACTAATGCAGTATTAGTTTAGTATTAATTAGTATTAATTTTTATTCCAAAGATCAAGGGAAAGAAGGCATAGCTGGCTTGACCCATGTTTTAAATGTGTGCGGTGGGCTCACAACACACACCTGCCCACCTACCTGGTCAATCGAGTTCCTACAGTATCACATGTGCCTTCTTCCTCATCTCTTCCAATCAATAACCCAGCGAGTTAGCTCTAATTCTTCAACATCCTTGAAGTCCTTCCCAGGAAGCCATTGTTAAGTCATACCACTGTTACTCCTTACCAACACCAGCGCTTGGTTTTACTACCCCCATTCCTACCTCCTCCACACAGGCTCATCTGTACCTCATCCCACATCAGGCCAAGTCCTACACATTTAGTGCAGGGACCATGTGCTCACAGAGAGCCTGCCCAACTAAAGGAAGGGACTTTCAACGTGTGGTCACTGGCCCCTGCATTCCCTCTGCTCAAGGGACAATATTCTAGAATTCCAGCCAATTCTGATAAGCACTGTCTAGGTTCTAGGCAGAAATTTAAGCACTTTACATACACATATATTAACCAATCACCACAAAGCCCTAGCAAGTTGGTTCTATTAGTATCATCCTTCTTTTCAAAGATTAGGAGTCAGGTACACTGTAGTTGACAAACTTGCTCAAGGACACACAGCAGAGCCGAGATTTGAGCAACGGCTTGAGTCCATTTATCAGTCCAGGTCTCTACCCACCGTTCTGCTTATACACAGGGAGGATGGCAACCAGCCTCCCTCCTTGTGCATCTGAGACAGCACAGGTGCTCAGTGTGTGAGTTACATGCACGTGAATGGTGTGCACAGTCCACTGGGCAGTGACCTGCCATCCTGGGGAGCCCTAGGAAACGGGTCACTTTTATAACAGTTTCATTTATTGGTAATTTTAGGCAAAATGATTCTCTCTTAACTTTCCCTAGACAAAAACGGGCTATATGTACTGTCCTGACTGGACAATGTACACAGGACTGTTAAACCCGAGGAGACACTCAAGAAAATAAGCCTGCTCCTCCTTTTCTTTCTGAGTCAGGAACAGGCTTTGTCTCTGCAGCTGGAGAGACATTAATCTGAACAGTGAACCAAGTTTCACCAAGTTTTCTTCCAATGTGTACCCTCCTGGGGGCTGGCTTGTGGCTCACTAATAACACACCCGGCCCCTGTCTGGCAGAGAGAAATGAAGGTCTTGTATGAAAGGTGGTTTCCAACTAATCAGCATAAGTTACATTATTAAAACAAGAAAAAACAAGGACTGGCATAAGCCTTTTCTTCATTTCCTCAAAAACGTTCTGAAAATCAGATACTCAGGTTTATTTCAACAGTTTAAACCAACATCAGCTGACAGAAAAAGTAAAAGGAAACTTAAGATCCATATTAATGCAAACTATACCTAAAAGTCAGTGTACATCTTATTTGTTCTCATTTAACTTTTAACACAGGTGGTAGTTTAACCTGTGTTTGATAGCCAAGATGCTACAGTCATCAAGAGAACTCTGTGTACTTTTTGAGGACAAACTTCCCAAAGGGAAAATCAGAACCCGTCTTTCCCAGCTGTGATGTCAGTGCTGTGGCCACCCCACCCCACCCTCCCGCACCCTTGTCTGAGCCCCATTCTTCTGTCCTGGGGAGGGGGTGCTGCCCTTGCAGTCTCATGTCTCACCTAGAAGTACTTCTACTGCAGACGAGGCCCTCTAGGACAGACCCCACGGTTTGATCTGTTACTGATCAAACTATCAAGAGCCCCCCAAAAGACCTGAGTCTTAACTGCAGAGACCTTCAATGCTGGTGGGGGAGCTGAAACAATGAGCCCTTCTCAATAGGCACATTCTATTCAGGAAAGTTGAAAGCAAAACTCCCTCTAGGAGGCCAAAAAAGGAAAACAGATCTTGCAGTGATTTTAGTTGGGACTGTATCAGAAGTGGATTCCAGAAACTGTAGTCTAATCTTTGATTTTAAGATTATTGAGCCATACAATAATTTACCTGCAATATAGTGAAGTCAGATGATGAAGTATCTAAATTGTTTATACTTTCTTTATCCTCTACCTGTAAAATAAACGGAGAACAAAATTTACAATACCAATAACAGAAATGCCTTCAAAGATGTCTCAGGGCTTCTATTTTTTAATCGCCTTTTCTGTCTAACTGAGAAACATTCATCCTTTTGGAAATAACATAATCCACTGAATTAATGGCACTAAGAAAACGCAATGTATGAGTTAAGTGTATGGAATCTGGAATTACCTTGGCCTTCATTCTTATTCTCATATGAGCTACTGCCTGGAGATGTTTACCTTTACCTTTTTACCCTCCAATTTTCCCAACTGAAAAAAGTGGCATTATAGCATCTATGTATCTGTGGTTAACAGGATGAAAGGAACTAATGGCTAATGTCTGGCAGACAGAATTCAGTAAGTAATACTCACCATGATTGTATTGTACCCTGGATTTCATCCTAACACAATAAAAGCTAAGGCTTTAAAAACAAGGTCACAGTATTCTAAGACTGACTAGGGGAGTACCAATCCAATGACAGCAAAAGACCAACTTTCCACCTGTTTTGGTATTCGAGGCATCACAGCTATTACATTACAGAGTAATCTCCTATAACAAGAAGGCTAGAATAGTGTCCTCAAGATGCTTAATGCTGCACTATTCAAATGGAGAGCAGATACAATTAATCCTCACAAAACACCACTTTTCAATGAAGCAAAGTGTGCCTTTCAGACTCCTCTGTGATATGAATGGACCAGCCAAACATTGTAATGAAATGGCATTAAAAGAACATAATTCCAAATTTAGTTATTATCTGTTATGTTGTTTGAGGAAGTTTTACATTTAGGGTACATCCTAGAGACCCTGCTGAGGTACCTACACCATGTTCTTGAAGCTGCTCTGGAAGTTCTTTCATCTCCCCCTCCACAAGCTCTCTACTGTCAGACAGGGACTCCTGGAGGTTTTCAGCATCATCATCTTCCACACAGTCTGCAACACTCCCGTTATCAATCTCTGCTTCATCCAACACACTGATATCCATCATGTCAATGTCCTGTAAGTTCTCCAAACTGGTCTCAACATCCTCCTGTGATAAAGAAAAATACAAGCATCAGATGACAGGCCCTGGTCCATGCACGGAGCTGATCACTGATGAGGTTCACATACCTGTCCATCCCCAGAATTTTCTTCTAGCCCATTATCTTCCACACCCTCTTCTTCTGGTTTGCGCCCTGGAGGAATAATTTGTAGCATGAGATCAAAGGTGTGTATTTTTCAGAAGTGACAACTTTCACTTTCATACACCCTAAGCAGTACAGAAAAGACAACCTAAAACACCCGTGGGACTTCCCATTTAGGAACACAGTAATCCAGGAATAGTTAAATCCAATCTGGATAAGGGAGTTCCCTACTACCCCTAGTAGAAGTGGTTCTCTTCTTATCAACTAGCTGTGGAAGTATGAGGCACTAGAAATGGGTTCTTAATAAGGTGGAAGGAACCAGACCTTTTCCAGGCCTGCCCATCATGTTAAGTGGCTTTGGTTATGGGGAGAAGAGTATCGCATACAAATGTGCTGCTGTGGGGAATTCCCTGGAACTCCATTCGTTAGCATTCTGTGTTTTACTACTGATGTTTCAGGTTCAAAACTTGGTAGGTGAACTAAAATCCCACAAGCCTGGCACAGCAAAAACCAAACAAAACCCAAACTAACAAAAAACCACACAAACCAGAACAATCAATCAAACAAAAAAGATTACATGTGCTGCTTTTTGGTTAAGGAATGTGGAACACGTTTACCCAGAGACAACCACATAAAAGGAATACACAGAAAAGCAAAAAGAAAGTAAATACCTTTCAGAATTTTACCATCTAAGAGTTAGTCCTGGAGCTATCATACAGTGGGGCATGGATATCCTTCCATACTGTGCTACGAACATACACATACTCTCCTTTTAAAAACTGTGCTGCCATTTTATAATCCTTTCACTTACTACCTTGTGAATAGCTTTCTATATTCTTTCATAGCATTATATGGTTTGTGTGAGTATGTGCACAGTCGTGTGCAACCCTATGAACTGAGGCCACCAAGCCTCTCTTTCCATGTGATCTTCAGGGAAGGATACCTGAGTGGGTTGCCATTTCCTACTTCAGGGGATCTTCCCAACTGAGACTGAACCTGCATCTCCTGCACTGGGCAGGTGGATTCTTCTTTTTTAAAAAAAATATTTATTTTTAATTGATGATTGCTTTACAATATTGGTTTGATTTCTATCACACATTAACATGAATTAACCACAGGTGTACATATGTCCTCTCCCATCTAGGTTATTACAGAGTCTCAGTTTGAGTTCCCTGAGTTATACAGCAAATTCCCAGTGGCGATCTATCCTAGCTTCCATGCTACTCTCTCCATTCATCTCACTGTTTTCCTCTTCTTGACATTCTATGTCTGCATCTATTGGCAAGTGGATTCTTTACCACTGAGCCACCTGGAAAGCACCATCATTCTCCAAATTAAAGATGGAATTTCTTAGGCTACTAAGTATTTATCTAGTAAGACATCACTTTGCACACGAAGGTCCAATTAGTAAAAGCTATGGTTTTTCCAGTAGTCATGTACGGAACTGAGAGTTGCACCATAAAGCAGACTGAGGGCCAAAAAAATGATGCTTTCGAATTGTGGTGTCTGGAGAAGACTCTTGAGATGTCCTTGGAGTGCAAGGAGATCAAACCAGTCAATCTTAAAGGGAATCAGCCCTGAATAATCACTAGAAGGACTGATGCTAAAGCTGAAGCTCCAATACCTTGGCTACCTGATGCAAAGAGCCAACTCATTAGAAAAGCTGGTAAAGATTGAGGGCAAAAGGAGCAGAGGGCGGCAGAGCATGAGATCATTAGATAGCATCACTGACTCACTAGACATGGATTTGAGCAAACTCTGGGAGATAGTGAAGGACAAAGAAGTCTGACTTGGTGCATTCTATGGGGTTGCAAAGAGTCGGGATGACTTAACCATTAACAACAATCATTTGTACCATAATTCAGACTTTAGAATTTTCCTATACCATGTGTTACTTGATTTTTCCATATTCTAACTTCACTCATGTTTTCTGAATTTTTTTTCCCCCAGAAATATTTTAATTGCAAATAGCCTTGGTAGTTGGCCGGGAACCTCAGTATCCTATGGCAAAACATGCCTCGAGCTTCAGAAATGTCTGGAACTCAACCTAGTGGTCTTTATAAATATGCTAGGAAGATATACAAGCAACAGACTTGTACCATTCTAGAATATGCACATTGGCTTTTGCCCAGTTCCAGTGAGTTAGTAGGAAAAATCTAAGCAGACTACCAGAAACTTGCCACCCTTTCTACTGTCTTTCTCCCTTTCACAAGAAGGAAGCAGGTTTTCATCAGGCAGATCCAGATCTCACTACAAGCAGGACGCACAGGTACACTGCAGCCTGAATCCCTTCCAGGGGAGAATTCTCCCAGGTAAGAAATGCCCTAACAAGCAATGTCAAGAGAATGTGCAGTCCTAAGAACATCCAGTCTTCAATATGGAAAACACATCCCCATCGGGATGCTTACCAACAATCACTATTTGGGGAAAGATACCCTACTTTCCAAAGATGAAAAACAATGTGTCTCAGTGAATCCAAAATTAATGTGAATGAGAAATATCACTGTGGCAAAAACTAAAGCAACTGTTTTTGGTACTACTAAGAGAAAAAGTACCCCTCAAATTCTTCCTCCAAAGAGTAAAAAGGCCTCCCACGTTCGCAATCTCCAAACCACAGGTCCATGCAGCTTCGCAGTTCTTGTCTCTCTAACTTTCTCCCAGCCCCCCTGCCTGGGATTTCCATTTCTTCTCCCCATTAAGCTTCTACTTCAGGGAAAATGCCCAACTCAGCTGTTAGACCCCTCCACAGACTCCTGCTGGGAATTTCCTCAGGACCCAGTGTGGCTGGCTGCACATGGGAAGGTATTTTTAAAAATTTGTTTGATTACACAAATACATTCTCACAAGTATACTCATTAAAAGATTCTCATTAAAAGATTCTCACCACTTCATAGTAAATTTTAGTTTACTAATAAAAGATCCACCCTCATAAATACATGAAAAAGTTCTTTTCCTTTCTCCCCGTTGCACTTCTAAGAGGTAACCATTGTTGTCAGCTTGGTGGCCCTTGAAAACATCTTGTGGATTTATACACGTACCATTCAAATGAAAATGAACTTGCTATGTAAAGGAATCACACTGTATATATATTCTGTAACTTGCTTCTGTTAATAAAGGCCTTGGAAAATTATCTTGCCCTATACGCTGACTCACCTCCATGGTTAGTTTCACAGTTTGGTCACCCCTGCCACGAAAGATGCTTTATTAATTTACCATCTCCAATAACTACTCACTTCCTCACACCCTTGTCAATGTGGATTATTGAGAATTATGTACCTGTTTACCAGTGTAATTGGCAAAAATGATAGTCATTTTTATTTGCTTTAAGAATTTTTCTTTTTTGTATATAGGCCTTGTTTGTTTCTTCTTTTATCTGTGACTTGTCTATTCATGAAAATGAAGTCAAAGTGTTAGTTGCTTAGTTGTGTCTGACTCTTGTGACCTCGTGGACTGTAGCCTGCCAGGCTCCTCTGTCCATGGGATTTCCCAGGAAAGAATACTGGAGTGGGTTGCCACTTCCTTCTCCAAGGATCTTCCCGACCCAGGGACTGAACCCAAGTTTCCTGCATTGCAGGCAGATTCGTTACCGTCTGAGCCACCAAGGAGGTCTCTTTTCTGAACTCAATTGGCTATTTTCTTATTAATTCATAGGAATATTGAATGCTTTCTGGATGTTTATATGCTGTAACATTTTCTCCCAATTATATCTATTTCTGGTATCTTTCATTAAGAAAATCTTAATATTCTACCATTAAAATGAGAGCAAGAGGACTTCCCTGGTAGCACAGTAGAAAAGAACCTGCCTGCCAACGCAGGGGACACAGGTTCGATTCCTGGTCCGGAAAGATTCCACATGCCTTGGAACAACTAAGACTGGGTGCCACAACTATTGAGCCTGCACTTCAGAGCCTGAGCTCTGCAACAAGAGAAGCCACAACAGTGAGAAGCCTGAGCACCACAACTGGAGAAAGCCCTTGCACAGCAACAAAGATCCAGTGCAACCAGAAATAAATAAAATTAAAAAAAAAAAATGAGAGCAAGAATGCAACAGTTTTTCAATTTGAGTTATTCTTCTGTATTTTCTTTTTGATAAATATTAAAACAGACAAATCTCAAAGAGTCTTTTAGGTTACTTTGAGGGGAATTGGGAACATTATGCTATCAAGTCATCATATCTAGGAAAACTTTCTCAAAATTACTTATGTCATACTACTTAAATATTTCCTTGTAGCTTTACCTATTACTTGAGAATACTGTATCTATTTTTAATGTCCTCTGGCAATACCTTGCTTAAGTCTTTGACTTGCAAATGACGTTTCATTGGCATGTCAAAAACAAAGCAGAACAATTAAAACCAGTTAGCAAGTTTTGCAAGTGCATTGTTCATATTAGCCATTTCCCCCCCACATTTCTTAAGCCATCATTGGCTCATTTTGGATTGCTTCACTAGTATTTAATTTCATGAGGTACATGAAGACTAAAAGGACCTCAGAGACCCAGCAGCGGCCAAGAATTTGACACCTGCAGCAAAGAGTAGGGCTTCCATGGTAAAGAATTTGCCTGCAATGCAGGAGACCCCTGCATTCCTGAGTTGGGAAGATCCCCTGGAGAAGGGATAGGCTACCCACTCCCTTAGTCTTGGGGTTCCCTGGTGGCTCAGTCGGTAAAGAATCTGCCTGCAATGGGGGAGACCTGGGTTCCATCCCTGGGTTGGGAAGATCCCTGGAGAAGGGAACAGCCACCCAGACCAGTATTCTGGCCTGGAGAATTCCATGGATGGAGAAGCCTGGCAGGCTACAGTCCATGGGACCGCAAAGAGTTGAACACAACTGAGAGACTTTCACTTCAGCAAAGAGTACACTAGCACTCTGCAAAAAATGAAGAAGGGCACCTGGAAGAGATGGCTGATTCCCAGAGCAGGGCAGGGAAAGCAAACAGACACTGGAACACCCTCTTGTGCCAGAAAGTAAGTGTTCAAAGAGTGATGTGAACATGTTAAGAAGATATTGGGGCCAGCTTGCAGGAGTCTAACAGGGAGAATTTGCACATCAAAATAAATATCACAAAGGCTTATCATCTACTGAATAGGAATCTCTAAGTTCACACTGATAAGTGGGGGAGAAGTGCAAGCTACTAACTCTTACGGAAGAAATCCAACACTATAGATGGAATGACGAATTTAGAAAATCACCAGTGGACAACTCAGTGGATGCTGACACTAGTGGAGGGTGAAAGATGGTATTTTTAAGTCTCTGAGTATTCTCCCCATAGATACAATTAAGAACTCTCCTGTGGAGACACCCAACCAATACCACCCCAAGTTACCTGCCCAAATTGTCAGGATGTGCCTCTAAGGAAGACACGTAACAACAGAGAAAAATAACACTTCCAGTGGTATTTCTGACAAAAGTGCGTGATTTGAACCTAAACATGAGGGGGGGAAAAAAAACACCACCAGAAATATCCCCAATAAACCCAAATTGAAAAACAGGCTTCAAAATAGGTGGTCTGTGCTCTTCAGAAAATGGTAATATCACCAATACAAACAAAGGCTTGGGAACTGTTGTAGATTAAAGGAAACCAAAAAGATGTGCCATGACAACTGAAGGCAAAAGACCCTAGAATTTTCTTCTTCTGTGTATGAAGAACATTACTAGAATAAATGATTAAATAAGGTCTAAGCTTAAAGAACAGCATTATTCCAATATTAATTTCTTGATTTTGGGAACTATGTACATAGTTATGTAATGTTCTTGCTTTTAGAAAATGCTGTAGTATGTAGGAGCAAAGAGGCACATACTTGCAACTTATTCTGAAACAGTTCAGGGGAAAAGGAAAAAATACATATGTATTACATTTGTTTTATCCTTTTCTTTCTCCCTCTTCCCCTCCCCTCCTGCCCTCCCTCTCTCAAGAATGAAAAGGATAAAACAAATGTATTAAAATGATAGCATTTCGGGAATCTGGGTGAGAATTTATGAAAATTTCTTGTATTTTTCTTGTATCTTTTCTAAGCATGAAATTATGTCTCCAAAAAAAAGATACACTGTACATTCATGCTCAAAGTTTTTATGGACCTATGGTTTCATTTATTTTGGCTAAAGACACAGAAATAGAATAATTTGGGATGTATTAACATTTCAGTTGAATTTTTAAAAATTTTATGTGCCAATTTTTCTCCCAAAAGTTGCATCATTTTATATATTTCACAGCAGTGTATGGGAAGTTTGTTTTTCTAAATCTTTGCCATTTTAATAGTTGTTTTCTAGTATTTCTAATCATTTTAATTTTCATTTCCTTGATAGCTAAACATAACAATTTTTGATGTGGTCACTGGCCATTTACTTATATTCTCTTGTGAAGTATCTATTCAAAACATTGCCAATTATTAAAAATGTATTTGATTGCTTAAAAACATGCTAACTTTGCTTTTCTAGTTAAATTACTTTAAACGATCTATTAAACAAAGTACTGGTGCAAAACTAGTTTGGAAGATTTCTAGGATTCTGATTAAAATAATCAGATTTCAAAATATTTTGAGTTTGTTCAAATAACACAGAAGAAGAAACTCTTATTTTCAGTAAAAATCTTAAAATTTAATAAGGCAGTTGTAAAATAAATCAAGAGAACTTATAAAGTAGCCCTACTAAATATGAAAAAGTACTGTAAAACTTCAGAATAGAATGACTAAGCATCTAAGAAACCAGACAGAAAAGAGTTTGTATTGGGAATTCCTGGCAGTCCAGTGGTTAGGACTCTATGAGCTCACTGCCTAGGGCCTAGGCTCAATCCCTGGTCAGAGAACTAAGATTCCACAAGCCACACAGTGCAGAAACCTATGCCGTTTTTTGCTTTGAATGGTTCTACTTCCCGTGAAGTTTCATAACAGGCAAAGCTAATCATGTATGGTCAAAGTAACAGTATTCTCCCCCCGCCTCCCGCCGGAGGGACAAGCAGGGATTATGACTGGGCAAGAGCAGTAGGAATTTAGTAGAAATGTATCACACTGGGACTTCCCTGGTGGCCCAGTGGCTAAGACTCCACACTCCCAATGCAGGGGACCCAGGTTCGATCCCTTTTCAGGGAACTAGATCCCACATGCTGCAATGAAGACCCGGTATAGCCAAATAAATAAATAATAAATATTTTTAAAATCCCATTATTTTGATCCCTATTTAACTTCACATCACATGCAAAAATAAATTCCAAATGAACTCAAAATAAAACTATAAATACTACTTTGCGATGCAGATTTTTTAAAAAAGTAATTTTGAAGCAAAGGACTGCCTCTTAAAATACAACGTAAAATCTAAAACCAAATAAAACAGGTTAACTTCATTGCCTGGATTAAAGATTAAAACTTTAAAGACAAAATCATCACAAATTAGTTAAGTCAAAACAAACTAGTTAAGTCAAATGAAAGACTATGAAAAAAACAATCGACATTTTACAGAGCGAGCACTCTCAAAAGACAAGCAGAAAAATGAGCAAAGGGAGTGAAAAGGCAATTGAGAAAATACAGATGGGCAATTATCAGAAATTTTCTAATCTGTGAAGAAATGTAAATGGACACTTTACCTGTGGAGAAATTCAGACAAATACAAGGAAAATAATATTTAGCATTAAGCAAGAATTTAAAGAAACAGGTACCTGCCCATGTTGCTAGTTATTAACCAGTAGAGCCTGCTGGAAAGCCACTTGCTAATAACTATTTCAAAAATAAATGTACATGTCTTTTGACCCCAGAATTCTACTTCTCTCAGGTAACAAAAACATATTCCTTCAGCAGAGATAACTCTGGCACATGGACATGCTGCAAACCGGAACAAATAGTCTAGTGATAAAACTGAGGAGCTCAACTACAGTAAGAAGGACGAACACTTAGCGATTAAAAGAATGAGGTCTTTATTTTCTGCATTATTGAAGATGTCCTTTACATGCTAAGTGAAAAAAGTAAATTAAAGGATGTTGTGCACAGTATGGATTTTTTTTTTTTTAATGGAAAGACAAAACTACAGTGGGTTTCTGGTTACATCTTTCTACATTTGTTTTTATTTTAGGTAATGGTAGACACACAGAAAAGTCTGGGAAAATATGCCTACTTTTAATAATGGATTGTCTCCTTTATTTAATGCATATTTGTGTTCCTAAAAACCCTAACACAAGGATTTCTTTTTCTTAAAAACAAACTCCACGGGCTATATCCTCTGCCTGCCTGCCGCCCCCCCCAATAAATGTCTTTCTCTGATTTTTCAGTACTCTGCCTTGGCAAAAACATCGACTTAGGCAAGTCAAAATGCACAACAAACTGTGGACCACACAAGTGATGTCACTCCAAAAAGTGATGACACTGACTGCTATTCTCCCAGAGCTAATATACCACAGCGTAGTCCCTATTGGTGCCTGCCTCTCAGACATTTCAGATCCAGGTCTTCACCACTGGCCAGGTAAAAATATTTCATTTTGGGGCCTGAGCAATAAAACTTTCAATTACCTAGAGAATTTTCAAGATGGCCCAACTGCCTGGTTTTAGCTGATCCTCTCTTTTTAGCTGATTAGTTGAATGTCACTGAATTCAATTAGGAATTCAATTTATTGAGTAAATACTAGCAAGAAGGAAGACAAGGAAGAAGCAGACCCTGTCCTCAACAACCTAATTACGACATAAGGCAGGATGATGTCAGCATTGAAACTCAGGCCAGGGCTGTGCAGAGGACCTAAGGAGAGAAGACTTGCTACTGGTGAGATCAGAAGTTGTCTCGTGATGAACTAGGACTTGAATCCAGACAGATGGGGAAGAGGAGTGATGGAGTAAACCACAGGTTTGGGACCTAATTGCAGGTGGATATAACAGAGGAACGTGGTGGGGGGTGGGGAGCGGGAAGGGACCATCTGGGGCAATGGTGAGGGTCTTTAATGCCATGTGGAACCTGGTTTTTATGCGGTAGACAGTTTTTGAAAGCAGCATCTGTAAAAGTGACGACTCTGTTTTTGGCCAGGCGGGACTTAAAAGGGAAGTTATTTTCTACAAGTCAGAGCAATAAGAGACTCAAGTAATCCTAAACACTCTCTACCTCAAGAAGGTTAAGACTCTGGATAAGCACCAGCTGCCGAGAAACCTACACAAGAAAATAAGTAAAGGTGTCAGTACCTCTTCTGTGCCGAGACTTCCCAAATCCCATGGAAACAAAAATACAATGGAGAGATCTTGAAAGAAAATGCACACCTTCATTCAAGGTCCATCAAAGATTCACAGGGCAGTCCACAGGCACATTAGCAGAGGAAGCCAGTTTGAAAGAAGTTCCTAACATCACCCTCCATACCTTTGCTGGATCTCTTTGATGTCTTCTTATTTCCTTCAGAGGTAATTTCAATTTCATCAGGATTACCTCCCTCATCTTCAATTGCCTAAAGGGAAGGGAAAAGAAAAGTTCACCCAAAAAGGCAGCACGCAGACTTGACTTTCACAGAAGCTTCAGGGGCTGATCTGGAAAGGGCCTCTCCCTACTCATTCATCCCTTCTTTCTGTTGCAGCAAGGGCCCCAGACATAGACTGATTCTACCGTACCTTGGCTGCCTGGTCTTAGGCAGGCTTACTTAATTGTTCTGAGTTTGTTTTTCACTCTGGCATGAGGGACTAATTAAAGTTCTTACCCTGGAAAGCTGTCATGAAAATTCTTATTAGTCAGGTAAAGCAAGCACACACCAGACATTTGATTTATTTTTAACATTATCACCACAATCTGACAGATCCTAATCCTGGGTCCAAAAGAACTCAAAAAGAGAGAAGCAAACTCGCTAATTACCTATGACGTCACTCAGCGATGTGTTATTAGACCCTCCCTGATCCCCTCTCGGTTCCATGCCTCAATTAGCACCATCTGGACAGAATAGGGATGTGCAATGGATGGGACACATGACTACCTCATCCCTCATGAATCTCTGACTCCTAAGGTCTTTCTCTCAACCACTAGGGGACCTGCTTCATTGGACACAGAACCCTAAGGATTTTTGAGTGAGTGCCGCCTCCCATGCCAAGACTACGTTGCTCAGTTAAGCAGATCCCAGGCACGCTCAGCACAGTGCAGGCCACTAAAGAGGCACTCAGGAGCAAAAGAAACAAACAAACCCTCACCCCCACAAAACAAACAAAAGAATATGTACTGAGCCTGTCAATGCTGATATCCCCAGACACCAGGCCTCAGATTTTAACTTTTGGAAACCCTTTCTCTCCTGGATAGTCTTGGGAACCCATGTTCTATTTTAAAATCAGTTTCAAATGCTGTTTTGTTTGTAAGTAGTTTCAGAAGTCTCAAAGATTCTCACGAGTATTCTAGCTTGGTAAAATCCAAGTTCAGAATGAGGCTTGGGGGCTCCACACCTAACCTTTACTTGTAACAAAGAAACCTCTCCCTCTTCTCTGAAGCCAGAGCCAGAAGGAAGATTTGGAGTTATGCCCTGGCATGAAGGAGGGCTCAAACAAAAAGTGCCTTACCTTCTGCCTGGAGACAAAAGATTCTGGACCATCATCAGCAGAAAACAACTACCTCACAAGAAAGTGACCAGTCTGCCTCTCAGATGGTCTCCAGGTGTAGTGTTTACAGGGTCGTCCCCAGGGGGACTGTAGGCTATGAGTCATCCTTATAGACCTTGCCAAATTCGACTCTGTCGCCTCCACTTTTCCCTGTTTTGCTTTTCTACAAAAATAAATAAACCAGAGAAGGGACAAAACACTCTGTGACAAAAGTAGAAGAGAAGAACTCCAGTTACTTCCAGACTTGCTCAGGCAGAGTGGCAGATGGGTGTATATGCTGATGGTGTTTGTGTATTTTGAGCACATCCCTAACAGAAGAGCAAGAAGGGATGGATTTTTCCTCTCAGAGACCCTAGTGGAAGATCATACCAGCCTCAACCACCAACTTGACAGGGAGGTTCAATGCTCTATCAACATCAAAGGCTTGTGGATTATCTGGGGGAATAATGGCTAAAGCCCTCCAATTTAGCTTTGTTGACAAGAGGCCCTGAAGCTACTAACACGGATCACAGGTCCCTGGGTGCCAACCCTCCCCTTCTTGCATACTCTCCAGGTAAACACTTCAGTGGTGAACTGCCTGCCCTGTCGTCTTAGAGGGGAGTCAGTATCCATAGTGAAAGAAACACACACTCGAGTTACAAATGCCCCACTGACTCCGAGCATAACTCATCACTCTCAAGCCTGAACTTCCTCAACCGGATAATAGGATATTACCCTCACTTCCTCTAAACAGCAATTAATAAATAAAACCCTGATCCTCTGTTGTTTGTGAGGCAAGAGGGTGGAATGAGTCACAAAATGCACTGCTTGGGGAAATAAGGTGGGGGGAGGATAGGTGACAAGGCTTAGAGATCACAGAGGAGAAGTCCTGCAACAAGAGATGGTGAAAGAATTCACCAGAATCAGACGGCACAAGGAAAGCGGAAGAGCACAATTTCTTAACTCCCTGCTTTTCAAACGTGTCCCTCAAAATCCCATCCGGCAAGAAAGGGTCAGAACCTCCAGTCTGCAAATACCAAATACCTCCAGTTGTTACAAGAGTTTAGGGCTTCCCTCATAGCTCAGCTGTTAAATCATGTGCCTGCAATGCAGGAGTCCCAGGTTCCATTCCCGGGTCGGGAAAAACCCCTGGAGAAGGAAATGGCAACCCACTCCAGTATTCTTGCCTGGAGAATCCCATGTACAGAAGAACCTGGCGGGCACAGGCCATGGGATCGCAAGAGTCGGACACGATATAGCGACTAAACCACCACCACCACCAAACAGTGGTACACAAAGTAAAGTCCATTGTGACAACGATTGCCCCTCAAGCGTTCACATGTATCAGGCAGCACGCCAAGCCCATTTTGTGCCATCTTACTTAATCCGAACGCGAGAGAATTCTTTTGGACACAAGGAGAAACAGGCCTAGAGGGAGTTAAAATGTCTTCCGCTCTCAAAATCGAGTCACGGAGACTGGCATAGTCCTTATTTCTTAAGTCTAACGGTAGGTTTCATTTCTTTATTACAAACAGCACTTTCCCTGCCAGGCTGAGTCCCCGAGCCCGTGCTGGCAAATCCCTAAGCCATTCCCCCCAACCCAGCTCCCGATACCCTTTTGATAAGGTTACTTCGTAAACTACCCCCCATTCTCGGCTTCTAGGCCCTAACGGATCAAGCAGCATCTCTCTCCCCAGAGGAGGCCCCCGCATCCAACACACGCTCCGAAAATCGCCCGGCCTGCGTTCAAATTTCGACCTCCCCTCCCCGGCCGAGTGACCTTGGGCGAGTCCCCTGACTCCCCGGGCGGAGCGAGGATTTCAAGTTCCGCGTCCCCTCTCAGAGATCGGGATGAAAGCAGCCGAAGGAAGCCCTAAAAAGCAGGGGCTGATACGGATAACACAAGCTCTCGGCCGATGTCACCCGCCACCTCAAACTTCCCCCATTAGCGTCGAGATTTTCTTGTTCTTGCCCCGATGCAACGCTGGGCTTTGAACTTGGGCCCGCCGGCGCTCGGCGATCCCGCTCAGGCCTGGGAAAAGTAGGGACAGGCCTGGGGCAGGCCGCAAACGGACCCCGAGGCGAGGAGGCCCCCCGAAGCGGCCGCCGGGGTTCCCCGACCCACCTCCCAGCCACCCCTAGGGTCCCAGCTCTACCTTTCTAAGTCGCTCCATCAAAGCGCTCTTGTTGCCGCTCGAATCCAGGTTCCGTTTTTTCAGCTCCGCCCGCAGATCGATCACCCTAAGGTCGGTGAGGCGCCGCGTCCCGGTCTCCGACGAGGCGGAGCTCAGAGCCGCTGCGCCCGCCGCACCAGAATCGCCTAAGCCGGACAGAGACTCCGCCATTCCAGGGACCCTGGCTCCGCCGACTACTTCACACAGAACCGGGCCGGGTTTACCTCGGCTTTCAGCACAAAATGGCGCCGCCTGCGAGGGAACCGCTCCGGCCGCCCCTGTGCGACTCGCTTCTGCGCAGGCGTACCCGGCGCGGGTTCGACGCTCGCGGCCGCGTCTGCCCATGCGTGGTGAGAACCCTGGGAGGGACGTACGGCGGCGTACTTCTCCTCGCCGGCCTCCCGCCGCGAACTGCCGAGACGCATGCGTACTGCGGTCACACCGCCGGTCGGCTGTGGCCTGGCGCCAGTGCTGTTAAGCTTGATCAGGGCGTTGCGCAAGCGCGGGCGGAAAAAGGGGGCGGGAGGAATGGAGTGCCTTTTCCTCTCAGGCGGCGCCATTTTGTTGTCAGAGCCGCTACAGCTGCCGGCGGTGGGGGGGGGTAGTTGGTGGAGACAAGATACCCAGGATGGTACTCTGGTAGGGGCCGCCGACTTGGGAATGGCCGCTTTCGTCTCGGAAATCGGGACGCGACGGCTTAGCGACCTGCGGGCGGAGCTGAAATAGCGGAACCTGGACACGGGCGGCAACAAGTGTCCTGATAGAACGGCTGTAAGAAGGTGAGGCGGCCTGGGGCCCCGGGGTGGCGCCAGAGGCTGAGGAACTTTCCCGGCCCGAACAGTCAGGGACCGCGGGGCCGGGCTGTGAGACCCAGGATTGACACCGCCCCTCGCTGTGCCTGGCACCTCCTCTCCAGCTGGGGGCCTCAAAGCGCTGAAAGCCCATCGTAGTCGTAGGGTGGCCCCAGGACTGCTCCCAGGGCCGTATGACCTTCGACATATGCCGTCCCCTCCCTGCGCCTCAGTTTCCAGGAGGCATACACAGAATTAAAGAATTGACTGTACTGGCTACAATCACAGCTCCTAACTTACCTGTTCTTCTCTTTCTTCCATGATTGACCTTGAACCTTCTCTCCTGAAAAGGGAATTCATATGGAAGCATAAGGAGAAAGACAGGGAGTCACATCCCCGAATGGAAGACATTTCCCGAGTTAACCCAGGTAATTCATACACAAACTGCTAGTTTGAGTGGGCTAGCAACCTAGAAGCCTAGAACCCAGAAGGGCCGCTGGAGTTCTTGTCGTTAAGATTTGAGCTTGGACCAAAAAAAGAATGTGCCTGGATTGGAATGTCCCTGTAATCGGGTAGTCAAGGCTTAACTTTCTAATGAAGGGGGTGGGGGGTTCCTTGGTTGGGGAGCTAACACATACCTCAAGACCAAAAAAACCAAAAGGTGAATATTGTAAAAATTCAATAAAGACTTTGAAAATGGTCCACGTTAAAATAAGAGAGAGAGAATGAACCAGGACAAAGAAGACATCCATCAGGTGGGCAGGGTCAGTGGCTGACCTGTCAACCGAGTGATCAGGGTAGCAGCTCTGGTCTCTGTGATCACAGTTGTGGAAGCGGTCCTGGTGGTCCAAGTCAGAATGGTAGCGCTCATCCAGGGCTACCCGCTTAGCTTCTGGCCAGTAAACATCATCTCGCCTAGGAGGGAAGCAAGAAAGGAGGACATATGTTTTCCCCCTCATAATGGACGACCTCTATGGAAGCTGGTAAACTAAATCCTCAACTGTCCAACTGCCCCATCACTTCACAGACCGAGAACTAACTATATCCATAGAGTCCATTCTCTGCCACTTGAGCTGCTAGTGCCTGGAGGAGTGATATGGGATGTGACTGAAGGGCTCTATTCTCTTACCCAATATGCCCAAGTTCCCCACAGAGAAGTTCAGGTCTTCTTACAGAAGGGGATCAGAGAAGTGGGTGTCAGATGCCCTCTGGGAACCGTTTATGGCCACAAGGGTTGGCCAGTCTACTAGGACAGTTGCCCCATGCAGACTTGACTCAGGAAACACCCAGTGCAAAGGACTAGTAGCACTTGGGATGTACCTGTTCAAAAATATTTTATGATCTTAACAAACTCTCACATCAATATTTTGTAAAATGCACAAAAATCCTAAGACATCTTAAAGACCCTTTACAGAAGTTTTGATGTTACATTACACAGGGACGGATTAAAATGAACACACACCATGCAGTCTCCTCCAGTCACCATACATATGAAAAGCTCTCATAGGATCAACCCTAGGATTATTGCCCCAGACTCCTCACAGCAAGGTCTGAAACAGGCCTTTCACTGGTGGTTAGTGTTTTAGTATTTGTATGTCACAACAATATGGGGGATTAAAATCAATCTCATTAATAGAGTGAACCAGCACAAATCACTGCAATGATTTCAAAGTATGGGAGGTGCCCAGGAAGTACATTTTGGTCCCTGATCACCTGACCAGCACCCTGTGTTATGTGCTGCTGTGGGGGTCTGAACTTTCTCGGCGGGCTGGGGGGACAGCTTGTACTGGGACTCGAACCTAATGATTTAATAAGCACAACTTTCACCATTTCTCCATCAACCTCAAACCATCTCAGGCTTCCAGATAAAGTACAGAGTATCAAGTTGAGCTGTAGCAAATACTTGTGCTTCTTTTTAAATAAAAAGCCCGTTAACAAGGCTCTGGGGGGCAAGGCACAGTTCTAAATGCCACAGGACACCTAAGAGGCGGCAGCGAGGCGCGGTGTGGCTTACCGCCCGTCGTCATAGGGCCTCTGCTCCTGCTCATAGTGTAGTTCTTGCTGGCGCCGCCGCAGGAGCTCCACGCGCATGCGCTTGCGCTCCAGCCGCTCCCGCTCCATGCGTTCCCTCTCCAGGAGGCGTCTCTGGAAGGCCAGCCTCTCACGGGCGAATAGCAGTTCCTCATGCTCCTGCCGCTCCAGCTCTGCCTGCGTGTACTGCTCTCGATCACTGAGCTCTCGTACCCTGCAGGCGAAGAGTAGAGGCTGCAAGGGCCCATGAGCTGCAGCAGTGCGGGCAGCGCCCCCGAGTGGGATGGGGATGGGGGGAGGCTAGACCTGTAGGTACACTTATCAACAAGCAAGGGCCAGCCGCTGGTGGAGACAGGCTGTGTAGGAGCCCCCTTAGGCGAGGGACACTTGACAGTCCTTTTGCAGGTGACACTGATGGTGCCCATCACAGTTTCCTCCTGACTGCACAGCTCCAGGTGATCTGTTCAGCCTCTTCTTTGTGTGTACAGACACAGAACTGTACCAGCAGGAATGTCTAATCTTTCCTTGCTTTATTATGTAGCTGCCTTGCTTCAGGTACCATGTCCTGAACCCCATACATCATCATCTGGTCAGGTGCACTATGCTATTGGGAAGGAGCCCGTTGAGTGGGGAGGTGGGGGTCCACATGACCACTTGCAGATGTCAGCCTTCTGGCTATTGCCAGCCTCAGGGACATGGCTGCCCTGCCCCATTATCTTCCACACAGGTTCAGGTGGGGGACTGTGGTGGTACTGGGTCTGGAACACCTCAGGACCACTCTCCAGGCTGACATGCCCCTGGACACACCTCTCCCACCACCACAAGCACTGTCTCCCCCACTGTAATTCCCATCAAACCCACAGATGGAAAAGCAGTCTCACCGCACTTTTCATCTGCATGTCCCTGATCCCTGGTAAGGCTGAAAAGCCCCTTCTGTCATTCTTGCTATCAGATTAATTTTTGCTTATTTATTTCAAATCATCTTTACTCCCATCTGTCACACATCTCTGGACCTTCTCTTTGGTCTCTCAGTGCACTGAAGTGAAATTTAAATTTAGTCTACTTCAACATTATAAATTGTCAGTCCTTTCAGAAGCTCAAGTTCATAAATTCACTTACTTTTGTATCATGTGGATAGCTTTAATTTTTAATTTTGTGTGCAGCCAGCAGTTTATGTTGACACTGTGTCAGTGATATAAGCCAGCCACGTGACCTGAAGCCATTCTGGGAGAGATTGTCCTTGTCTCACTATGGGAAATGTCACTTTTATCATGTTAAAGTCCCCACATGCACACTGATCTATTTGCCAATTACATAATTTCTAGTGAACTATTTTGCCAGTTTCTTTAGCAAAACAGCACTTTTTCTTTTCTTGTTGCCTTTGTTCAGGAGAAAATTTTGTATCATGACCCCTTTCTCACTCTTCTTCTAGAATTTTTACTAATGGTTTTAATTTTTTTTGACAGAAAACATTAACTGTTGTTCAATATAATTGATAAAATTTCTGTTTAGTTTTTTAAAATTCTGAGGATCTTGTATTGGGCTTATTGAAGGGTGGGAACTCTCAGTTCTCTGACTGGGTCTGTGCCACTGTTTTTCCCTATTGACGGGTTCTGCAGCAAACTTGGTATGTTGTGTTAACTAGCTCTAGGCAGGAATTCCATCTCCCTGTCATTGCTACCTCCCAGAATCTTGAGAATATCTACCTGAGAAGATAGTTTGAAAAAAAGTCACAGGAAGAAAGCCAGTGCACAGGATGTCTGTGAAGATAAAGCCAAGGAGCAAAGGTTTAAAGCAATATTCTGACCTCTGGGACTTAAAAAAAAGTCCTCCCAGGATAGAGTTATCACCAGTCTAGGGCAACACCCAAACCAGCCATCATTCCTAGATCCTGACTCACCTGCATGACTCTGATTCTCTAGACTTCTTCGATTCTTTGACTTTATCAAAGGAACCAACAGACTGCTTCTCTATGCTCCCCGATTTTCGATCCTGACTCTTGGACACCTGGTTTACCAAGAAGCATTGAATAGTTAAGGTAGGAAGAAATCAAATGTGTCCTGGCCCAAGCATACAAGATCAGAAATGAAGCTGAAGAGTGAATGAAACAATCAGGTTAACACTCTGTTCTCTCTAGAGAACCTCACCTTGGCTAACTAAAATCCAGAGTCACAGAATCATTACCATTTAATTCTAAAGTGGGACCCATCGAGTACTTTCACTAGTCAACACGCAAAACAGGATTTTCTCTGAAGCAATCCATAAATTAAAAACAAACTTCCCTTCACTTTGTCTTTTCCATTCAAAACACATTCTTTAATATTAAACACACAGTGATGCGCAATTGAGGAGGCCACTACTGTCATGTCTGAGGATTCCTTATTTGTGCTGAGTGCATTTATTTTTGAGGTCCTTCTTAGCCCTTGAATGTACATTTCCATTTTGCCATTTTACATCATTTATTATAAAGTAGGTAAAGAATTTGCCTGCAATGCAGGAGACCTGGGTGGAAATCCAGCTTCCCAGGTGTCTCAGTGGTAAACTGCCTGCCAATGCAGTAGGTGCAGATTCCATCCCTGGGTCGGGAAGATCCCCTGGAAAGGAAATGGCAAACCACTCCAGTATTCTTGCCTGGAGAATCCCATGGACAGAGGAGCCTGGTGGGCTACAGCCCATGGTGTCCCAAAACAGTCAGACATGACTTAGAAACTAAAGGACAACAACAAAGGGTAAAACACTCAGACACAGTAAAACAGTGGAAGAAACACAGTGCAATAATGAAATGCCATAACAGAACTCTCGGCTTGTAATTGGTCCACAACATTCATGAGCTTACATGGCTGGTCATCTAGCCAGCACAGGTTAACATGGCAGGCCTGAGGCTAGCGGTGGGAACCTTGGCATTCAGAGTACCCTAGTCAACAGTTAACTGGCAAAGGTGGCTCACTGTGCCCTGACCATGCAAACGATGGTTTATGCTGAACACCTGCTTTCCTCTGGGAGTCAGGAGAGGGTCTCTATGTGACTAGCCCCAAGTGAAAGGCCTGGGGACTGCAGCTGTAACGGGGCTCCCCGGGCAGAAGCATGACCCTTGTGCTGCTGCACTGTCCCTGCCTGGGGAGCCATCAGCGCTCCCTCCAGACTCTGTCACCTCCCTGCATCCCTGGAGCCAACCTTAGGCGTAACTACAACTACTTGCTGAGCCCAGTGGGACCCCGAGTGGATCTGGAAATGTGGGTAGTCTTGGGGACCTGGGCCCACATCCATCCTAGTTGTAAGGCTGTCAAAGAGTTGAATTATGAACATCCAGAGCTGCCCATGACTCTAAAACAGCAGGCAGAGTGAAGTGGTAAGAACCTAAGGTAAGTGCCCACTCTGTGGATTCTGTGGCTCTATGGAGCGTCTGCACGGAGACAATGCACGGAATGAGTAAGGTGGAGATTGGGCACAGAGGCAGCCAGAAGGCCGGCTCCGCCAAGTGTGGGTTACGAATGCACAATGGAGAGCTGCTGAAACCCGAGGCCGGCAATGAACATGGACTGCTGTGCCCAGATGCAGGCAAATAAAGCCAATCACATCCATAAGTGAATTTTGAAATGGTGTCTTTTTTTTTAAAAAAAGGGGCAGTAATTCTTATCGAAACTAAGGAAAGCCTTTAAACTTTCTCAATTTTAAAGTTCTAAAAAACTCTCCATTTTCAGAAGACTGACAAGCTTTCCTCAAATTAAGCTCAAGAATCCCCTAAAACACACAGAGAACTGTCAAAGGAAATAAGCCAGGCAGGAAGAGAATACTCACTCGCTCTTTGGATCCCAACGTTTTGACACTGATAACAGGCACACCTTTAGATTTATCCATCACCACAGTCCGCTCAGTTCCTCGGCTTCCTGTAGGAAGAGAGGAGTCAGGTAAGAAGGGACACCTCCTATTGAGAGAAGAGTACTCAACTTCAAGGAAAACAAATGTAGTTTGTGTTGCCCATTAACCACACCAGCCAGGAACAGAAGCCAGGGTGCAATCTCTCACACCCACTGGTCAGCTACCTGACTTTGTGGCTCGAGAGTGCTCTGAAGAGCCAGGTTTCTGATCATCCTGGTCTTCACTCTTCTCTCCACTCCCGTCTTCACCCTTTTTAGCATCATCTTTTCTGTCAGCCTTCTCTTCCCTCTTGACATTGGCAGATCTATAAATGGCATGCAGATACAGATATGTGTGAGATGCAACACTGGGGGACCAATCCAGCAAAGGCTCCTTCAATGAATACCGAGTGAGGATGGGGCTGCCTCGAAGGCATCCACAGGTTGCAGAACACGCAGCCTAGGAGAGGAACTTGACGTCTCTGAGGACTGGTGGGAAAATCCTCCAACAAGTGCATAGAAGGCAAGGAGGCGAAAGCCTCAGAGCCTTTCCCACCCGTGGAAAAATGAGGATCGAGACATGAAGAGAAAGGTCATCTTGGCCAATTCCATCAAGAAGACATACCTGTCAGCATTGCTAGACTTCTCTTTTTTCCCCTCCCCTTCTCTTCTCTCAGAAGTTTTCTTCCCAGCAGGTTCATTTATCACCTGGAAAAAGAGAATCCGGTGAAAAGAATCAGTTGGGAGTATTAACTGATTTTATAACATGATCACATCCCAGGAAGAAAATGGCCCCTTACTTTTTCTACTGAGATCATTTTTCCATGGAGCTCTGTTTTGTGCAGGTTGTTGATGCATTTTGTGGCCTCTTCCACTGTGGACATGGTAACGAAGCCATAGCAGCGAGCTCCAGGACTCCGGGCATTGGTCACAACTTTGGCGCCCACCACCTTGAAGGAAAACACACAAGTACAGCTCAGACATGAAGACCCCACACAGACCTCAGCTGTGATTCATGCTAGTTTACCCCACCCCTCAGAGACACTGAGAACAGGTGGACAAGTGGCAAGTAAAGGCTATGGAGGGTAATGCTTTGGCCTGACTGCTCCTACTCCATCCTGGCTGTTTCTCTAGAGGACTAGGATAACAGCAAGGTGGAGAGAGGAGTGAAGCAGAAGGTAGTGCCCTGTCAGAATTCTGTTAATAATGTAAGCCTTAAAAGGTATGTTTCTGAATATGCAGTTAGTTAGGTGGGCAGTGAAGTAGGAAGACACACCTACAGAAGGAGAGGGACACAGGACAGGTTTACAAAGAGCACTCTGGAACGCAGAGCCCACCCTACTCACAAAACAAAATTTAAGAAGATGTTTAAGGTGCTACAGATACATCCTAGATGCTAGGTGTACATGTTAGATGTTAGTTAACTGGCCCAACCACAGCAGCAAGCCGATGCTGGGGACACCCTTTAATGGCAGAAGGCCCACAGCTCAGAAGAGGTCCCACTGAAGCCAGGAGCAGTGGCTGGTATTCGTCTTCATTTTGCCACTAAGAAAGGCTAAGCCCCTTTGCAGCTAAGAAAGGCTTCCAAGGGGCCTGGTCCCCTATTCAAGCTGCAGTAAGCCTGCAGTGTACCCAAGACACTGCAGGTTGCAGACGGAAACTTCCCTGCAGAGAGCAGATGTCTGCTCTGATGGCCACTGCAGAATCAAGAGAAGGGCCCTACCCTGAGTTACAGAGGCCAGGGTTTTGTGAGTTTCTATGAGAAGCAAGGTTAGTTTTAAGTTTTAAATTAAATCAAGTTTAGTTTTCCTTGTCAGTTCCTCAACATCAACAGCCAAGGTAAACGATGTTGGTTTTCTCCATTATCATTTTTTAATCCTGGGAATGAAGGCCCAAGGTCTGTGCTAAGTGTGACTTGTCAAAAACTGAGGTTAGGGTGCAGCAGCTTATCTGGAGAAGAGTCCAAGAAGCACTGGGAGGAAGTGGGAGGTGGAAAAAGGAGGAAGGAAATGCAGCACTCAATGTGGTGTGTGTGTGTGTTGGGGGTGGCTGCCCACCTGGGCATCATGCTCACCCTTTCCATGCCAAGGGAGAGAGGGTGACAGCAGGTGTGGCAGAGTAGACACAGCCAGAAGTAGCCAGGATGAGGTGAAAACAGGGAGAAAGACAGGGCTCCTGCAACTCTGTGAGCCCCACATATGGAAATGAGGCTCCCATGGGACCAGCAACTTGTCCAGGTGTGGCAGAGCTGGGGCCTAAGGCTGCCCATAGGGGTCGGGTCCACAGGCCGTAAATTGTTCGTAAAATTTCTCTACAGCTTCACGGTGTTCTGTAATCACCACCATCTCAGAAAAATGCAGACTGCACTTTTGCCTGGAACTCCCCACACCACAGTCTTCCCTCCCTGGGTTTAAGGCTGGAAGCCAGAGACACGGACGGACTCAGGGAGCTATCAAACAACCTGGTGGCTTGGGGGCCAGGGAAGCACGAGAAATACAAAGTGGATGTGGGCTCTGTGAACTCCTGCTGGCCTACATCTCTTTCAGTGGGGGTGGACCCACCACAGGCCTATACACCTGCGAGTTCAAAGAACCACAAGGTGTTCCAAGTTCTCACTGCCAGGGGCAATGATCTGCCACATAGAGGCCATACTGCATGAGCTCACAAGTCTCCTCCCCTGGTCTTACCTTCCCGTATTTGCTGAAAAGATTCTTCAAATCTGCAGCTCTGGTGGTAGAAGAAAGTCCACTAACCCAGAAATTCCTTCCACAACTGCTGTGACCTATTTCAAAAGAAAAGTTCCGGTCAAAAACAAGATACAGACAAAATCCTGAGTCTTAAGTATCTTAGAGTCATTCTAAACCAGACACTCTCCCTACTTGCTCTAGAGGCCAGCAGTACAGAGACGGCTGGGGCTGGAGGCCAGCCTGCTGCCCTGACATGGGTTCTGGAGCTGCCCATGGGGTGGATAGAACCGATGGCAATGTCCCTTACTACGACTGGTCAGGGGCCATTGGGCCCGTGGCTGGGGTAGCCATCAACTACCAGATGGCACCACCCATCCCAGTGAGCTGACTCTGGAACGTAAGACAGGAGCTGACACTGTGGAACCTGAGATACAACCTCTCCCCAGTTTCCGGCCTTCTTTGAACACCAATTAAGGATGAGTCTGGCGCAACCAGCAAAATTACTTCTCAATCGGCAAATTAATAAAGGGCTCTGGCATTGATAAATCTGCCATACCAGGGACCCACCAAACCCCAGTATGTGAAACTCGAAGCATTTTCTCCATCTGCATGTGTCACTGTTTCCAAGAAGTTCACAAATCAGAGGGAAAGTCAGATGGAGGAGCTCATAGGACTCTGGCAAAATCAAGTGTCCCAATCAAATCAAAGTGACAATTCCGCCCTGCAACCCAACCTGCAGAGTGAGGAAGCAGGTGGCCAGAGTGGAGAAAGGCTTCGAGGCAGGCTCACAGGCCTGTGAGGTATAAATGGGTGTGTGATGGGCTAGAGCCAACCAGAACCATCGCTCCTGGGGGTGCCACCCTGCTAACTTACCCTTCTCCTCTTTGGAAAGCTTTTTTGTATCCGAGTCATCTTCGACAGAACTAGAGACAAAAGACAATGTCACTCCAGAAGGAAGAAGCAGAGAGGAAACTAACTCAAAATTATAAAATATGTGCTGAGGTTGCATACCTACCCGAAATTTAGTTCTGAAATAAATGATACCCCTACAAACGTGTATTGGAAATCTGACCTAACCATAAGATTTCAGACCCACAGGAGTTAATTAATTCTGCTGGGCTAAAGATAATTAGGAAGAATTAAAACAACCATGATAGGTTGAGAAAAGAAAAAAGATTATGTAATCAGCTTAAAATAAACAAAGAGAAATCAAACATTCTTTAGAGATAAACTACAATTGCATCAGTCTGGCTGGCCAATTGCAGAAAAACAGCTCATGTGTGTCATTAAACGACCAATGAAAAGGAGATAGTGTCTGGTCTAAAACTGAGAAAAAACAAACCTCATTTTCTGATCAGCGCCCTCACTGGCTGAGGACTCTTTAGGAGCCGGAGGGACTTCATTACAAGCTTCAAAAGCAAACTTCTTCACGTCTTCTTTGCTATCCCCGGGGTCCGGGCTTGAGGCTTCCGGGGGCGCTTCCGCGGCCTCCTCGCTACAGGCTTCCGTGTGCTCTGAGGCTTTACTACTCTGCTCAATTGGCTTCTCTAGCCCTACAGGCTCACAGTCCGTCCTCTCGTCATCGCCTGTCTGCTCCACGGGCTCCCTTTTCACTACCGCTAACAGGGTGTCTGCCTTGCTCGACTGAGCGTGTGCTGTTGACTCGTTGGCCAAATCTAAATCACCCTCCTCCGGATGGGCGCTGTCAAAAAGGTCCTCTTCCTCCGCAAGCTTTCTGTCTGGCCCCACGCTACTTGTTTCCTGTGCAAATGGCTGCTCCAGCTCGGAACCTTCTTCTTTTACTGGCTCAGATTTACAAGTTTCCCCCAAAATGTCGAGTATTTTCTCATTTTCTACGGATTTAACAGGAATAGAATGGCACAAGGTTTAATTACCAGGGAAATAAAGCAATCACAAATGCGGAACTGGCACGGCGGCCACACTAACACGAAGAGAACTGCTAGCTACACAGAGATTGGAAAACCCGCGGGTACACAAACTTAACACTGGTTACACTACCTGCACTCCGACCGACTGCTAGAGTAAGCCTCTACGCTACATGGAAGAGAAAAGCATCCCAGAGATTTATTTAACCCCCAACACCTTCTGGCTGATTCTTGACAGTCTTCATTCTGTCGGCGTGTATATATGACTCTTCCAAATTTAGCTTCCAAAGTCCAAGTTGCTTAACTCAGTGTATCACCATTCACTGAACAGAGCTCAATTTCCAAATTTCTTTGAATTTCTTTTAACAGAACAGTCCGACATGAAAACCAGAATCTCTTCCATCGGTGCTCTGAGATATTTGTAGTCCAGAAAGTGAATAGTATTTGTTTGGAATTCTCATGAAGAAACCATTTCTTCTTCTGGAATCCAGTTATGTCTTAATGTTTTAAAAGGTGTCTCCCTACCAGGGCCTGCACTGCCTGAATTAAAAACCACAAAATTAACACACTGCCCCATATCACAAGATCTGCTTTGTGGGGTACAGAGGTATTGGCTTTTGAGAGACAACCAAACTCTCTTACATCTGTTTAAGTGCCATGTTCATTTAAAAAGGTTGAGATAATCTCATCTCACCAATATGCTTTACAAAATAAGAAATCAGCCACTTTCACAGATCTGGTGATATGGCTGGGTTTCCAATCTCTATGATCCTGGTATGTTCTGGATTATAAACCTTTAAAACAATGTATACTAGAGTAAGGTAACTTTTTAAAATTAAAGATTCCAAATTAAAATTAGAATGACTCCAAACCCTGATGCCAAGTTTTTCATTTAACAGTACCTGGCTCCATGGATGGCTCTTCAATTTCCTGCAATAAAAAACATAAATAAAATTGTGCCAGATGGATGAAACCTAGAATTTATTCATACCCCAAAGTGTAGTAACTAAGAAGGGAATTTTTAAAAACACCGACAAGGAACCTCACAAATACAACAGGTGGAGAAGCCTGATTTTACCAGGCAAGAGCCTGCTGGAGAGCTGCCACCCCACTTAATCCACCTTAGTCCCAGGCCCCACGTCCCAGGTTGATCCCAGGGGGACTGCTGTCCATCATTACACTCGTCTGCTTCTGCATCTCCCAGAGCCTGGCAACAGTATCATGTTTAATGGTGATGAACCTGTCACATGCTGTCTGTCCTTCTAAACTGTCTTATATGCCTGGAGAACAGTGCTTTCATTTTTCTACATTGAGTTTCTAAAAGAATGCCTAACACATATCAGGAAATCGCTTTTCACATCATTAGCATTAGTTTCCAAAAACTGAAAAGATGGAGGGAAAGAAGGCACGGGTGGCTTGACCCCGGTTCTTACTTTGCACAGTGGTCTTACTGTCTCTGCCCACTTGGTCAATCAAAGCCCTACAGTATAACACATGTCTCCTTATTTTTTCCAACCACCCACCCACCAAGCCAGCTCCAATCCCTCAACAACCCCCAGGAGCCCCTGTGAAGTCACACCATTGCTGCTGCTAAGTCACTTCAGTTGTGTCCGACTCCATGTGATCCCATAGATGACAGCCCACCAGGCTCCCCCATCCCTGGGATTCTCCAGGCAAGAACACTAGAGTGGGTTGCCATTTCCTTCTCCAATGTGTGAAAATGAAAAGTGAAAGTGAAGTGGCTCAGTCGTATCTGACTCTTAGCAACCCCATGGACCGCAGCCTACCAGGTTCCGCCATCCATGAGATTTTCCAGGCAAGAGGACTGGAGTGGGGTGCCATTGCCTTCTCCACACACCATCGCTACTCCTCACCAACAACACAGTTTGGTTTTACTGCCCCTATTCCAATCTCCCTGCTAAAGAGGCTCATCTGCACCTCTTTCCAAAGCAGGCCAAGTCCTACACATGCCTCAGCATTTAGTGCATGGACCACCTCCTCACAGAGAGACTGCCCAACTACAGGAAGGGATTTTCTCTCAGTGTGGAATGTGGTTCCTAGAACCTACATTCCCTCTGCACAATTGACAATATTCCGGAACTCTAGCACACATTGCTAAGCACTGTCTAGGTTCCAGGCAGAAATTCTATCTTACATACACATATATTAACCAATCATCACACAGCCCTAGCAGGATGGTTCTATTAGTATCATCCTTCTTTTCCCAGATTAGGAGACAGGCACACTGTGGTTGACAAATTCGCTCAAGGACACACAGCAGAGCCAAGATCTGAGCAATGAGTGTGAGAATTGAGTCTGTATCAGTTAGGTCTCTACTGATCGTTCTGTTTACACAGGGAGGATGGCAACCAGCCTCTCTCCTCATGCATCTGAGACAGCTCAGATGTGTAAGTGCTCAGCGTGTAAGTTACATGCACATGAACGGTTTGCACAGTCCACTGGGCACTGACCTGCCATTCTTGGGAGCAGGTCATTTTCATGACAGTTTCACTTGTAATCAATTTGTTTTTCATTTCATGCTGGGAATTAAAGATTCTACACTGAAGGAAACAACCATTTTAGGCAGAATGGTTCTCTTAACTTTCCCTAGACAGAAATGTATACATTCTTATTGTCTCTGAGAGGGGCTATGTGTACTGTCCTGAACAGACAATATACACAGGAGTCTCTGAACTGAGGAGACACTCAAGAAGATGACAGGCCCCACTCCTCCTTTCCTTTCTGAGTCAGGAACAGGTTGAGTCTCTTCAGCTGAGGAGACATAAACTCTGGAGAGACCTCAGCCGGGTTTCACCAAGATTCCTTGGTATTTACACCCTCCTGGAGGCTGGCTTCTGGGTCACTGATAACACACCCAGCCCCTGCCTGGCAGAAGCGAACGAAGATCTTGTCTGAAAGATAGTTTCCAATTAATCAGCACAGGTGACGTTATTTAAACAAAAAACAAGGACTGGAATAAGCTGACTATATTTTCATTTCCTCACAAAACTTTCTCCTAAAAATCAGATACTCAGGTTTATTACAAGTTTATACCTTCAAAGGCTGACAGGAAAAGTAAAAGGAAACTCAAGATCCACATTTATGCAAACTACACCTGAAAGTCAGTGCACATCTCATTTGTTCTCATCTAACATTTAACTTTTACATAGGTGGCAGTCAAACAGCCAAGATGCTATAGTCATCAAGAGAAATCTGTGTACTTTCTGAGAAGTTCCCAAATGGAGAACCAGAAATCCTGAGAATCCACCTTTCCCAGCTGTGATGTCAGTGTTGGGCCTTCCTCACCCTCCTGCACCCTCATCTGAGCCCAATTCATCTCTCCTGGGGAGGGGTTGCTCCCCTTTGCATCTCACTTCTCACCTGAGTATTTCTGCTGCAGAGGAGGCCCTCCAGGACAGATCCCACAGGCTGTCCTCCTAGCCATCAAATTAACAAGAGTCTCCCAAATGGCCTGGGTCTTAGTTGCAGGGATCCACAGTTCTGGTGGGGGAGCCGAGACATCAAGCCCTTTTCACTAACACATTCTATTCCGGGAAAGATGAAAGCAAAGCCCCCTCCACGGAGGCCAAAAAAGGAAACAGACCTTCCGGTGACTTTTAGTTGGGACTGCCACATGATATCGGAAGCAGTCTCCAAAAACTGTAGTCTAACCTTTGATTCTAAAATTATTGAGACATACAATTTACCTGTAATACAGTGAAGTCAGGTGATAAAGTGTCTAAATTGTTTATACTTTCTTTGTCCTCTACCTGTAAAACAAATGGAGAACAAAACTCATGACATTAATAATAAAGTAACGTAACAGTACATCCATACAATGAAAAGTTACAGCTGTGAAAAGTCACATAAGGTGACATTCTAAACAGAGCACGAATCAAAACAGCATTACATTGTGATTCCACCTCAACTGAGAGAAATGTTGTACATAAACATATACCTGCAGACAGTCTAGGAGACTCACTTAAATGGTATCAGTGAGGGTTCTCAAAACACCAGTCAAACAAAGAAAAACAATAGTCTAAGTCAAGCAAAAAAGTACAGCTGGGTAGTATATATGTTCTCCCAGTAGACCAGAACACCAGGGTTGGGGCTGTCTTCCAGGAACAATGTCTAGAATCACGTTGCAGAGGGGGTTCTTAGACTTCATGGCCAACATGACTTCCCAAAGCCTGGATGCCTCCACCACTGGGACTGCTGCCTCTGGGGCAGCTATGGCCCGCGTGAGAATGGCATCTCTGGGACACCCCCTCCTAGCGTCATCAACTTTCAAACTGAATGTGGGGACAGGAGCACAGGACTGGCAAAAGCCCAGGTGACCCATCACTGCCCTACCTAGCAGGGGAAGAATCACTGGTATGCCGAGTTTCTATTCTTAGAGCTGGGCTCTGTCCAGTGAGGCAAGGGATTCCTCAACACAGAAAGGGGGGTCATAAAATCATTGTTGTGTGGCCCAATAAATTAGACTGTTTGCTATCAAGTCCAGAATGTTAGTTTATTTTTGGGGGGGAGGATATTTTTCAAATATTTTATCAGCATGTACTGTTACTACCTTTACATGACTACGACCTTGCACCACTCCTTCCTTCCCCTGACACAATCATCTCAGGACATTCTACGCATGCTCCTAAGAGCATGGGCACACACTCGTGTCAAAGACTATCTCCCCTTCTTCTGTCTACCTGATTAACAGCACATTATTCTGGTTCCTACCTTACTTTTGCATCCATCTTGGAGATTATCATTTTAGTTCACACAAAGAAGCTTAGCTCACTGATATGGTATACAGGAGTAGTCACTGTATAACTGAAAGTCATAATAAAAGTCTTAGTAGCAAGAACCCTACTGTGTTTGCTATACACTAGGCACTGCTCTAAACTGAGGTCAAGGGCCAGATAGTAAATATTCTAGGCTTTGTAAGCCAGACAGTCTCTGTCGTAACTACCCTACTCTGTGATTGTTCTCAGAAGTCAGCCATAGACAATTGTCACAAATAAGTGTGGCTGTGTTCCAAAAACTCTTTGGCCAGCTTGATGACTTCTGCTTCAAGTTAGCAATAAACATTCATCTACTTAGACTTCCTCAAATCTATTTTTGCAAATGAGGCTCAGAGAGGTTAAGTGAATTATGCAAGGTCACAGAGCAAGTTAAGTGACCAACCTCTAGTCAATGCTGTTACTGCTTAAATAACTGGTTCTACTAAACCATAGTTATTTAACCTTTACTGACAGACATTTAGGAGTTTTCAGGCTTTTGTTACTGAATATATTATCTTCTAATCATAGGGAATGAAACAGCCTTAAAGAAGCAGCCACTAAGGAAGGGTTTCACAGTCTCATGTTTTTGGTGTTCCTTCTTAGGAAGCTAGTGACTGAGACTCATCAAAAGATAAACAACTGCATATCCTATCTGTGTCCAAATAACCCCCCCGACCACCCCCCAACTCTCGGCACAGCCATTCAAAGACAACAACCTGCTACTGTGAAGGGTACTGAGGATCAGTTCCAAAAGAAATGCAAACACATTTCGAGGAATCTCATACGTGGATGGATGGACTGGCAGAGCACATGGTCTCCTTCCTCCCATAACACTCAGGAGACACTCCGTAAAAGAACTCAGGAGGCTATGAAAATGAGGTGCCACCTAGGACCGACCCCTAGAAATTCCTACAAAGAAGTCTCCTGGTTTCTATTTTTCATTGCCTTTTCTGTCTACCTGAGAAATATTCATCCTCACGGAAATAACATAATCCACTAAATTAACAGGACTGACACAATGTGGTGTATAAGTTGTATATGAACTCTGGAATTACCCTGGCCTTCATTCTTATTCTCATATGAGCTTTGTGCTGCCTGGAGATTTTTTTTTTACCCTTTTACTCTCTGATTTCCCCAACTGGAAAATGGGCATAATAGCATCTATATATCAAACTGTGGTTAAAAGGATGAAAGGAAATAATGATTAATGTTTTCTGGCAGACAGACTTCAATAAATAATATTCACCACAATTGCATCATACCCTGGATTTCTTCCTAACACACAAAAAGCTAAGCATTTAAAAACAAGGTCAAAGTTAGCATTAAAGATTGACTAGGAGAGTACCAGAGAAGGCAACGGCACCCCACTCCAGTACTGGAAATTTTCCAGCCTGGAAAATCCCATGGACAGAGGAGCCTGGTAGGCTGTAGACCATGCGGTCGCTAAGAGTCGGACACGACTGAGCGACTTCACTTTTCACTTTCATGCATTGGAGAAGGAAATGGCAACCCACTCCAGTGTTCCTGCCTGGAGAATCCCAGGGACGGGGGAGCCTGGTGGGCTGCCGTCCATGGGGTCGCACAGAGTCGGACACGACTGAGGTGACTTAGCAGGAGATGACAGCAAAAAACTAACCTTCAAGCTGCTTTGGTATTTTCAAGGAATCACAGTTGTCACACCACAGAGCAATCTCCTATAATAAGAAGGCTAGACTAGTGTCCTCAAGATGCTTAATGCTATTCAAATGGAGAGCAGATACAATTACTCCTCACAAGACACCATTTTTCAATGAAGCAAAGTGTGCTTTTCAAACTCATCTAATTTTTTACATGTGAATGGATGAGTCAAACATGTACTGAAATGGCATTAAAAGAACATAATTCCAAATAAAAAGCTTATCATTTGTTAGGCTATTTGAGGAATTATTACATCTAGGATACATCCTCGAGACCCTGCCAAGGTACCTACAGCATGTTCTTGAAGTTGCTCCGGAAGCTCTTGCATCTCCCCCTCTACTAGCTCTCTATTGTCAGACAGGGACTCCTGGAGGTTATCGTCATCTTCCACACAGTCTGCAATGCTCCCATTATCAATCTCTGCTTCATCCAACACACTGATATCCATCATGTCGATGACATGTAAGTTCTCCAAACTGGTCTCAACATCCTCCTGTGACAAAGAAAAATACAAGCATCAGATGATGGTCACTGGTCCATGCATGGAGCTGATCACTGACGAGGTTCACATACCTGTCCATCCCTAGAATTTTCCTCTAGCCCATTATCTTCCAAACTCTCTTCTTCTGGCTTGCGGCCTGAAGGAATAATTTATGGCATGAGATCAATGATATGCATTTTCCAGAAGTGACAACTTTCATTTTTATACGCCTTAAGCACTGAAGAAAGATAACAACCTAAAACACCCGTGGCACTTCTCCATTTACAAACACAGTAATCCAGGAATGGTAAGGCCAATCTACCCCCTAGTAGAAGTTGTTGTTGTTCAGTTGCTAAGTCGTATCTGACTCTTTGGCACCCCATGGACTATAGCACGCCAATCTTCCCCCATCCTTCACTATCTCCTGGAGTTTGTTCAAACACATCCACTGATGTGTGATGCTATCTAACCATCTCATCCTCTGCCATCCTCTTTGCCTCTTGACCTCAATCTTTCCCAAATCAATCATTTCCAATGAGTCGGCTCAGCCAAAATATCAGAGCTGGCACTGGACCTGGCACTTCTGGAGCTCAGAAGTGGTTCTGCTCTTATTAACTGGAAGTTTGAGGAGCTGGAAATGGATTCTTAATAAGGTGGAGGCAACCAGACCTTTTCCAGGCCTGCCTTTCTTGTTAAGTGGCTTTGGTTATGGGGAGCATAGTATCTCATATAAACATGCTGCTGTGGGGAATTCCCCGGCACTCCAGTGGTTAGCATTCTGTGCTTTCACTGCCTATGGCTCAGGTTCAAAACCTGGTCAGGGAACTAAGATCCCACAAGCTGCATGGCAAAAAACAAACGAAACCAAAACAAACAAAAAAACACACAAAAATTAAAATGAAAAAAAAAAAAAAACCAACAAAGTGCTGTTTTTAGTTAAGGAATGTGAAATGTGTTTTCCCAGAGACAATTACATATAAGGAAAACACAGAAAAACAAAAAGAAAGTAAAAGCCTTTCAGAATTTACCATCTAGAGTGAGCCGTGGAGCTGTCACACAGTGGGGTATGGATATCCTCCCATACTGTGCTACGTACGTACATATACACTGGTTTTGAAAATGGTACTGCCATTTTATAATCTTTGCATTTAGTATTTTGTGAACAGGTTTCTATATTCCTTCATAGCATTATATGGAGATATCATCATTTCCCCCCAAAGTGAAGATCAGTTTTTTAAGGTCATTAAGTATTTTTCAAGTAATATAAAAGAACTAGACATTAATCCACCTATATTTAATGATTAATCTTATAAATGTACATAGAATGTGTAAAATGTGTGTGAGGGGGAGTGAAAAAGCTCAACCCTAATCATTTATACCATAATTTAGACTTGAAAATTTTCTTATACTATATGTACTTGATTTTTCCATATTCTACATTTCACTCGTGTTTTCAGAAATATTTTATTTAGGAACACAGAGAATTGTGACACTAATACTAGTATACAATACATTATGTGCAAATAGTCTTGGTAGCTGGCTGGGAATCTCAGTACCATTGTATAATATTCCTATGGCAAAACGCACCTTAAACTTACAAAAATATCTGGAACTCAACCCAGTGGTCTTTATAAATATGCTAGGAAGATACACCAAGATTTCCACAGACTCGTACCATTCTAGAATATGCACACTGGCTTTTGCCCAGTTCCAGTGAGTTAGTAGGAAAAAATCTAAGCAGACTACCAGAAACTCGCCATCCTTTCTACTGTCTTTCTCCCCTTCTCAAGAAGGAAGCAGGTTTTCATCAGGCACTACATCAGATCTCACTACAAGCAGGACGCAGAGGTACACTGCAGCCTGAATCCCTTCCAGGGGAGAATTCTCCCAGGTAAGAAATGCCCTAACAAGCAATGTCAAGAGAATGTGCAGTCCTAAGAACATCCAGTCTTCAATATGGAAAACACACCCCCATCGGGATGCTTACCAACAATCACTATTTGGGGAAAGATACCCTACTTTCCAAAGATGAAAAACAGTGTGTCTCAGTGAATCCAAAATTAATGTGAATGAGAAATATCACTGTGGCAAAAACTAAAGCAACTGTTTTTGGTACTACTAAGAGAAAAGGTACCCCTCAAATTCTTTCTCCAAAGAGTAAAAAGGTCTCCCACACTTGCAATCTCCAAACCAAAGGACTGCATGGTTTTTGTCTCCATAACCTTCTCTCAGCCACAACCTTCTCTTCTGTTGGGATTACCCACCAGTACCCTGTGTGGCTGGCTGGATGTGGGCAGGTGAATATTTTTCAAAATTTGTTTGATTACACAAATACATTCATACATACAACTCAGCAGTGGCCACAGGACTGGAAAAAGTCAGTTTTCATTCCAATCCCTAAGAAAGGCAGTGCCAAAGAATGCTCAAACTACCACACAATTGCACTAATCTCACACACTAGCAAAGTAATGCTCAAAATTCTCCAAGCCAGGCTTCAACAGTGAACTGTGAACTTCCAGATGTTCAAGCTGGTTTTAAAAAAGGCAGAGGAACCAGAGATCAAATTGCCAACATCTGCTGGATCATAGAAAAGCAGGAGAATTCCAAGAAAACATCTATTTCTGTTTTATTAACTATGCGAAAGCCTTTGACTGTGTGGATCACAATAAACTGTGGAAAATTCTTCAAGAGATGGGGAATACCAGACTACCTGACATGCCTTTTGGGAAAGCTGTATGCAGGTCAGGAAGCAAGTTAGAACTGGACATGGAACAAAAGACTGGTTCCAAATAGGAAAAGGAGTATGTCAAGGCTGTATATTGTCACCCTGTTTATTTAACTTATATGCAGAGTACATCGTGAGAAATGATGGGCTGGAGGAAGCACAAGCTGGAATCAAGACTGCTGGGAGAAATACCAATAACCTCAGATATGCAGATGACACCACCCTTTTGCTTTTATTTCTAAAATTAAGTTTCATTAGGTCCCATTTGTTTATTTTTGCTTTTATTTCTAAAATTAAGTTTCATTAGGTCCCATTTGTTTATTTTTGCTTTTATTTCTAAAATTAAGTTTCATTAGGTCCCATTTGTTTATTTTTGCTTTTATTTCTAAAATTAAGTTTCATTAGGTCCCATTTGTTTATTTTTGCTTTTATTTCTAAAATTAAGTTTCATTAGACACCACCCTTATGGCAGAAAGTGAAGAAGAACTAAAGAGCATCTTGAGCAAAGTGAAAGAGGAGAGTGAGAAAGTTGGCTTAAAGCTCAACATTCAGAAAACTCAGATCATGGCATCTGGTCCTGTCACTTCATGGCAAATAGATGGAGAAACAGTGGAAACAGTGGCAGACTTTATTTTTTTGGGCTCCAAAATCACTGCAGATGGTGACTGCAGCCATGAAATAAAAAGATGCTTACTCCTTGGAAAAAAGTTATGACCAACCTAGACAGCATATTAAAAAGCAGAGACATTACTTTGCCAACAAAGGTCCATCTAGTCAAGGCTATGGTTTTTCCAGTAGTCATGTATGGATGTGAGAGTTGGACTATAAAGAAAGCTGAGCACCAAAAAATTGATGCTTTTGAACTGTGGTGTTGGAGAAGACTCTTGAGAGTCCCTTGGACTGCAAGGGGATCCAACCAGTCCTTTCTAAAGGAAATCAGTCCTCAATGTTCATTGGAAGGACTGATGTTGAAGCTGAAACTCCAATATGTTGGCCACCTGATGTGAAGAGCTGACTCATTTGAAAAGATCCTGATGCTGGGAAAGACTGAAGGCAGGAGAAGGGGATGACAGAGGATGACTGGATGGCATGACTGACTCATGGACATGAGTTTGAGTAAACTCCGGGAGTTGATGATGGACAGGGAGGCCTGGTGTGCTTCAGTCCATGGGGTCACAAAGAGTCAGACACGACTGAGCAATTGAACTGATCTGAACTCATTAAAAGATTCATACCACTTCATGGTAAATTTTAGTTTACTAATAAAAGATCTACCCTCATAAGTACATGACAAAGTTATTCTCCCTTGTCTCCGTTGTACTTCTAAGAGGTAACCATTGATAGCAGTTTGGTGGTCCTTGAAACCATTTTTTTTTGGATTTACACACATACCATTCAAATGGAAATGAACTTGTTATATATGGAATCATATTGTATATACATTGTTACTCTATAAAGGCCTTGGAAAATAGTCTTGCCCTATATATATTGATTCAACCCCATCATTTATTTCATGCTCTAGAGTTCCTTAGTTTAGTCACCCCTGCCCCGAAAGCAGCTTTGTCAACTTACCATTTCCAATGATTTCCCATTTCCTCACCCCCTGGTCAATGTGGGATATTTAGAATTATGTAAATTTTTACCAGTGTAATAGGCAAAAAGTATTATCTCTTTCTTTTATTTGCTTCCCTTCAAGGAAATTTATTTTTAATATAGGCCTTGTTTGTTTTCCTTTCATCTGTGATCTGCCTATTTATCATCTCTGTCCTTTCTCTACTGGATTGTCTATTTTTCTTTATTAGTTTGTAGGACTATTTAATGCTTTCTAGATATTAGTGTATTGCAGTATTTTCTCCCAATTGTATCCATTTATGGTATGTTTTATTAAGAAACACTTAAAACTTTAAAACTTTCAAGTAGCTAAATTTATTTTTCTTTATAGTTTCTTTTAAAAATATTTTTGGCTGCACCGCACAGAATATGGTACCCTCCCCGCAGACACAATTACAAACTTTTCTGTGGAGAAACCCAACCAATACCCTTAAGTCACTTGCACAAACTGTCAGGATGTGCCCCTAGGAGGGAAACAGAAAAATCATACTTCCGGTGGTATTTCTGACAAACGTGTCTAATTTGAATCTAATCATTCGAGGAACCCCCCCACCCCCCACAAAACCCCCCAATAAAACCCAAATTGAAAAACAGGTTTCAAAATAGGTGGTCTGTACTTTTCAAAAAAAAAAAAAAAGGTACTGTCACAAACACAAAGAAAGTCTTGGGAAGTGGTGCAGATTAAAGAAGATCAAGAAGACATGAGAACTGAAGACAATGCAAGACCCTAGTTTTTTTTCTCTTTTGAGTTATGAAGAACATTATTGGAACAAATGACCAAATCTAAATAAGACTAGAAAACAGTATTATATCAATTTCTTGATTTTGATAACTACATATATAGTTATGCAATGTTCTTGTTTTTAGAAAATACTATAGAATGTAGGGGCAAAGGGGCACACGTACTTGTAACTTATTCTCAAGTAGTTCAGCAGAAAAGGAAAATGATATATATTACACTTGTTTTATCCTTTTTTTTCTCTCTCCATCTCTCTCTTCTGTCCTCCCTCTCTCCATTGAGAAAGAAAAGGTTAAAATAAATGTAAAAATGACAACATCTGGGGAATCTGGTTGAGGATTTATGAGAATTTTTTGTATTATTCTTGCATAATTTCTAAGCATGAAATTATGTCTCTTAAAAAAAGATATACTATACATTCATGTTCAAATTCTTTTATGGATCTACACTTTCATTTATTTTGGCTAATAATATAGGAGCTGAATAATATGAGTTGTATTAACATTTTAGATGAATTTTTAATTTTGTATGTGCCAATTTTTCTCCCAAAATAGCTGTATCATTTTACATATTCTACAGCAGTAGGTGGAAGTAGGTATAGAAGTTTGTTTTTCTATATCTTTTAAACATTTGTTTTCTAGTATTTCAAATCACTTTAATTTTCATTTCTTTGTTAGCTAACGATAAGCAATTTTTGATGTGGTCATTGGCCATTTATTTATATTTTCTTGTGAAGAATCTATTCAAAATTTTGCCAATTATTAAAATGTATTTGATAGTTATTTTTAAAAAAGGAGAGATATCATGTCAAAAGAAACAAAAACAACCCAATGACCCAGTGGCTTAGAGGTAAAGAATCCGCCTGCAATGCAGGAGATGTAAGAGATATGGCTTTGATCACTGAGTCAGGAAGACACCCTGGAGGAGGGCATGGCAACCCACTTCAGTAATCCTGCCTGGAGAATCCCATGGACAGAGGAGCCTGGCGGGCTGCAGTCCACAGGTCACAAAGAGTCAAACACGAGTGAAGCGACTTAGCATGCATGCTTGCAACACAGAATCAGGCAATAGTTTAAAAAGTAAACATGCTGACTTTGCTCTTCTAGATAAATTACTTTGCTATTTTAAGAGTCTAAAAGAGTTAAACAAAGTACTGGTGTAAAACTACCTTGGAGGAATGCTGAAATTACCTGAGGTATGCTTTCTAGTCTGCCTGCCAGTGCAGGAGACCGGGGTTTGATCCCTGGGTGGGGGAGATCCCCTGGAGAAGAGAATGACTACCCACTCTAGTATTCTTGCCTGGGAAATCCCATGGACAGAGAAGCCTGGCCAGTCATGGTCCATGGGGTTGCACTGATCAACTAACACTTCCAGTTTTCATGCTTTCCAGGACTCTGATTAAAACAACCAGATTTCAAACAATTTTGAATTTGTTCGAACAGGGCAGGGAAAAAAAAACCCTCTATTTTCAGCTAAAATCTTAACTGCAAAATATAACTACTCCAAGCTAAGACACCAGACACAAAAGAGTTTGTACTGGAAATTCTCTGGCAGTCCTGTGGTTAGAATTCCATGTTCTCACTACTGAGGGCTTGGGTTCAATCCCTGGTCAGGGAACTAAGATTCCCACAAGTGGCATGCACCTGCCCAACTTTATATTGAATGGTTCTAGATGAAGTTTTAAAACAGGCAAAACATCTATGGTCAAAGTAATCACTTTTTTCCCCCTGAGGGACAGGTAGGTAGTATGATTGATTGGGCAAGGAAGGGCACAAGAAATTTAATAGAAATCCCATATTGGAACTTCTCTGGTGTTCCAGGGGCTAACATGCCACACTCCCAATGCAGGTTCAATCGTTGGTTAGATAACTAGATCCTACATGCTGCAACTAAGGCCGGTACAGCCAAATAAATAAATAATATATATTTTTAAAAAATCCATATTTTGATCCCTACTTACTTCACATCGTATGCAAAAATAAATTCCAAACAAACTCAAAATAAAACAATAAATACTACTCCACAATGCAGACTTTTTAAAAAGCAATTTTAAAGCAAAGGACAGTCTTTCAATATACAAGAAAAAATCTAGGAGCCTGGACAGCTCCTAAAATAGGAGCCTAGATAGCTCAGTAGGTAGAATATCAGACTTTTAATCTGAGGGTCCAGGGTTCAAGTTCCTGTTCAGGCATGCTGTCCTCTCTCTATTTTGGGGCTTCCCCGATAGCTCAGTTGGTAAAGAATTGACCTGTAGTGCAGGAGACCCCAGTTCAATTCCTGGGTCAGGAAGATTCACTGGAGAAGGGAGAGGCTCCCCACTCCAGTATTCTTGGGCTTCCCCGATGGCTCATCTGGTAAAGAATCACCTGAAATGCGGGAGACCTGGATTTGATCCCTGGTTTGGGAAGATGCCCTGGAGAAGGGAAAGGCTACCCACTCTAGTATTCTGGCGTAGAGAATTCCATGGACTGTATGGAGTCGCAAAGAGTCGGACACGACTGATCAACTTTCATAAAATCTAGAACCCATATAGGTTGATTGCATTGCCTGTATTAAAGATAAAAATTTGAAAGACCAAAACACCACAAAGTAGTTAAGTCAAATAACAAACTGGGAAAAAACAATTGTGACATTTTATAGAGAGAAAGCACTATCAAAAGTCAGTAAGACTAACAACCCAGCAGAAAAATGGGCAGCAGGCATGAAAAAGCAATTCAGAAGATACAGGCAGTCAGTTATCAGAAACTGTTTAACCTGTGAAGAAATAGAAATAAAAACTTTAGCTGTGGAGAAATTGATACAATGAGATACTTTTCTTCTATATACAAGGCAACATTAAAAAGACATAATATTCAGCATTAAGTGAAAATTTAAAGAAACAGGCACCCTCTGCAATTCCCTGATGTTGCTAGTTATTAACCAGTACAGCCTGTTGGGGAACTATTTGTTAAGAACTATTTTTAAAGTAAAATGCACATATTTTTTGACCCAAGAATTCTACTTCTCTAGTTAACAAAAACATATTCCTTCAGCAGAGTTAATTCTGGTTCACGGCCATGCTGAAAACTGGAACAAATAGTCTAGTATTAAGACTGAGGAGCTCAACTGTGGTACAGTCATACGAAGAATGATTATTCACTGTTTAAAAAAACTGAGGTTTTTATTTTCAGCACTATTGAAAATGCCCTTTACAGGCTAAGTAAAGAAAGTACAGAATACTGTGTGCAGTAGCAACAATTTTTTAAGGAAAGACAAAGGTACACAGGTGTGTGAACATCCTTCTGTATTTGTTTTTAGGTGACTTTAGACAAACAGAAGTCTGGGAAAATATGCCCATAATCTTAATAATGGATTGCCTCCTTTATTTAATGCCTACTGTGTTCCTAAAAACTTTTAACACAAGGATTTCTTTTTCTGTTAAAGAGAAAAAGAAAGCAAAAAAGGAGCTCCACAGGCTCTATTTCTCCCCTACCCCATAATAGTCTATCTCTGTTGATTTTTTTCCCCTTATTTATTTTTAATTTAAGGATAATTACAATATTGTGTTCTCTATTGATTTTTTAAGTACTCTGCTTTGGAAAAAACATTGACTTGGGCAAATTGAAAACTGCATGATGAACTGTGGACCACACAGTGACTTCATTTCAAAGTGAGGTCACTGACTGCTATTCTCCCAGAGCTAATACACCACACAGCCTGGTCAACACTGGTGCCTGCCTCTCAGACATTTCACACCCAGTCTTCACCGCTGGCCAGGTGAAGGTATATCATTTTGTTTTGGGGACTGAGCAACAAAACCTCCAATTACCAACAGAACTTTCAGGATAGCCCAAATGCCCAGTTTTAGCTGATTCTTTCCTAAAACAGTACTTGGATGTCACTGAATTAAATTAGGAAGTAATTCATGAGCAAATACTAAGTAGGAAAACAAGGAAGACAAAGCTTCTGTCCTCAACAACCTGAAATTCAAGCCGGAGCAGTGCAGAGGACCTAAGGAGAGAAGACTTGCTACTGGTGAGATCAGAAGTTGTCTCGTAATGAACTAGGACTCGAATCCAGACAGATGGGGAAGAGGAGCGGATGGAGTAAACCACAGGTTTGGGACCTAATTGCAGGTGGATATAACAGAGGAACGTGGTGGGGGGTGGGGAGCGGGAAGGGACCATCTGGGGCAATGGTGAGGGTCTTTAATGCCATGTGGAACCTGGTTTTTATGCGGTAGACAGTTTTTGAAAGCAGCATCTGTAAAAGTGACGACTCTGTTTTTGGCCAGGCGGGATTTAAAAGGGAAGTTATTTTCCACAAGTCAGAGCAATAGGAGACTCAAGTAATCCTAAACACTCTCTACCTCAAGAAGGTTAAGACTCTGGATAAGCACCAGCTGCCGAGAAACCTACACAAGAAAATAAGTAAAGGTGTCAGTACCTCTTCTGTGCCGAGACTTCCCAAATCCCATGGAAACAAAAATACAATGGAGAGATCTTGAAAGAAAATGCACACCTTCATTCAAGGTCCATCAAAGATTCACAGGGCAGTCCACAGGCACATTAGCAGAGGAAGCCAGTTTGAAAGAAGTTCCTAACATCACCCTCCATACCTTTGCTGGATCTCTTTGATGTCTTCTTATTTCCTTCAGAGGTAATTTCAATTTCATCAGGATTACCTCCCTCATCTTCAATTGCCTAAAGGGAAGGGAAAAGAAAAGTTCACCCAAAAAGGCAGCACGCAGACTTGACTTTCACAGAAGCTTCAGGGGCTGATCTGGAAAGGGCCTCTCCCTACTCATTCATCCCTTCTTTCTGTTGCAGCAAGAGCCCCAGACGTAGACTGATTCTACCGTACCTTGGCTGCCTGGTCTTAGGCAGGCTTACTTAATTGTTCTGAGTTTGTTTCTCACTCTGGCATGAGGGGCTAATTAAAGTTCTTACCCTGGAAAGCTGTCAGGAGAATTCCTATTAGCCACGAAAAGCAAGCACTCATGGAACAGTCAGCTTATTTTTAGAATCATCATCACAATCTGATTGACCCTATTCCTGGGCCAAATTACCTATGACATTACTCAACACTGTAGTGTTCAACTCTCTCCCTGATCCCTTTTCCACATCTGCACTAGCACCATCTGGACAGAATAAGGACATGGCATGGGATGGGACACAGACTACTTCATCCCTCACTCATCTCTCTGACGGATTCCTAAGGTCTAGCTCTCAACCACCAGGGAACCTGCTTCATTGAACAGAGAATTAGAAGGATTTCTTGACAAGTCCCGCCTGTCATCCCAAGAGCCTGTCCTTCCCTTGACTAGCTCCCACTTGTGCTTAGCACTGTGTAGGCCACCAAGGAGGCACTCAGAGGGGGGAAAAAAAAAAAAACCCACAAAACAATCAATCAAACGAACACAGACCAAGCCTGTCAATGCTGATATCCCCAGACACCAGGCTTCACAATCAGGCTTTTGAAAACCCTTTCTCTACTGCATAGTCCTGGGAGCCCATGTTCTGTTTAAATCCATTTCAAATGCGGTTCTATTTGTAAATAGTTTCAGAAGTCTCAAAGATTCTTAGGAGTATTCTAGCTTGGTAAAGTCTAAGTTCAGAATGAGGCTTGGGGGCTCCACACCTAAACTGTACCAAGAAAAAGAAAATCTCTCCCTTCTCTCTGAAGCTAGAGCCAGAAAGATTTGGAGTTATGTCCTGGCCTGAGTGAGTGAAGTTGCTCAGTCGTGTCCAACTCTTTGCAACCCTGTGGACTGTAGCCTACCAGGCTCCTCCATCTGTGGGATTTTCCAGGCAAGGGTACTGGAGTGTGTTGTCATTTCCTTCTCCAGGAGGAGGGCTCAAACAAAAAGTCCCTACCCTCTTTCTGGAGACAAAAGATTCTGGACCACCAGCAGGAGAATACAACAACTACCCTAGGTGGACCAGTTCGCTACTCAGGTCATCTCGTCCAGGTGTAGTGTTTACAGGGTTGTCCCTCGGGGGGACTATAGGCTATGAGTCATCCTTACAGGCCTTGCCAAATTACACTTTGTGTGTTGTCACCTCCACCTTCCCCTCTTTTGTTCCTCCTAAAAGAATAAATTAACAAAGAAACCAAAGAAGGGACAAAACAATAGGTGACAGAAGTAGAAGAGAAGAACTCCAGTACTTCCAGACTTGCTTGGGTAAGGTGGCAGATGGGTATATACACCAATGGTGTTTGTGTATTTTGAGCACATCCCTAAGAAACTGAAGAGGAGAGGAAGAAGGAACAGATTTTTCCCCTCAGAGATGCTGGTGAAAGATCACAGCAGCTTCAACCAACAGCCTCACAGGAAGGTTCAATGCCACCCTATCAGCATCAAAGGCTTGTGGACTATCTGGGGGAATAATGGCTAAAGCCTCCCACCCCCCACCACTTTCCCTTTACTGACAGGAAGCCCTAAGGCTAGTAACACCATGGATCACAGGTCCCTGGGTACCAACTCTCCCCTCCTTGCATCTTCTTCAGGTAAACACTTCTGTGGGTGAACTGCCTGCCCTGTCTGCTTAGAGGGAGTTAGTGTCTATAGTGAAAGACACACACACTCAAGTTACAAAGGCACTACTGATTCAGAGCAAGTAACTCACCACTCTCCAGCCTGAGTTTCCTTATCTGGATAATAGGAAATAATCCCCACTTCCTCTAAACAGCAATTAATAAACAAAAACCGATCCTCTGTTGTTTGGGAGGCAGGAGAGGGTGGAATGAGTCACAAACTGCACTGCCTGGGGCGGGTGGGGGTGGGGGGTGGTGGTGGAGGATAGGTGACAAGGCTTAGAGATCACAGAGAAGTCCCAAGACAAGAGACAGTGAAAGAAGCCACCGGAATCACACAGAACAGGGAAAGTAAAAAAGCACACTTAACTCTCTGCTTTTGGAACGCATCCCTCAGAACCCCTCAAGGCGGGGATCAGTAACACCCAGATTGCAAATACCACACAGTGTGCACAGAGAGAAAAGTTCATTGTGACAGCAATTGCACTTTGAATGTTTGTATGCTATAGGTAGCATGCCAAGCACATTTTGGGCCATCTTCCTTAACTCTTAACGACTAAGAATTAATATTTTCCTCTTTTGGTCACAAGGAGAAACAGACCCAGAGAGGGTTAAAATGTCTTTCACGCTCAAGATCGGGTCAAGAGACTGGCAGAGAGAGCCCTTAGGTTCTGAAGTCTAACTGTAAGTTTCATTTCTGGTCTTTATTACAACCATCACTTTTCCTGCCAGGCTGAGTCCCCGAGCCATTCCCCCTCAAACCCGCTCCCAATACCTTCTTGATAAGGTTACTTCGTAAACTAACCCCCTATTCTAGACTTCTAGGCCCTAATGGATCAAGCAGCATCTCTCTACCCAGAGGAGGCCCCCGCAACCAGCACACGATCAGAAAATCGCCCGGCCTGGGTTCAAATCTCGACCTCCCCTCCCCAGCCGAGTCCCCTGACTCCCCAGGAGGAGCGCCGATTTCAGGTTCCGCGTCCACTCTCGGGATGGACAAGACCCGAGGGATGAAAGCAGCCGAGGGAAGATCTAAAAAGCAGGGGCTGATGCGGATAACACAAGCTCTCGGCCGATGCCACCCGCCGCCTCAAACTTCCCCCGTTCGCGTCGAGATTTTCTTGTTCTTGCCCCGATGCAACGCTGGGCTTTGAACTTGGGCCCGCCGGGGCTCGGCGATGCAGCTCGGGCCTGAGAGAAGCGGGAAGAGGTCCTGGGCAGGCCGCAAACGGGACCGGGGGGGGCGGGACCCGAGGCCAGGAGGCCCCTCGTCGCGGCCGCTAGGGTTCCCCGGCCCACCCCCTACCCACCCCCAGGGTCCCAGCTCTACCTTTCTAAGTCGCTCCATCAAAGCGCTCTTGTTGCCGCTCGAGTCCAGGTTCCGTTTCTTCAGCTCTGCCCGCAGATCGATCACCCTAAGGTCGGTGAGGCGCCGCGTCCCGGTCTCCGACGAGGCGGAGCTCAGAGCCGCTGCGCCCGCCGCACCAGAATCGCCTAAGCCGGACAGAGACTCCGCCATTCTAGCGGTCCTGGCTCTGCCGATCACTTCGCACAGAACTGGGCCGGATTTACCACAGCTCCCAAGACGAACTTCGGCCGCCTGTGAGGGAACCGTTTCAACTGCTTCGACGCTACTCTCTTCTGCGCAGGCGTACCCGGCGCGGGTTCAACGCCCGGTGCCGCTTCTGCTCATGCGTAGTGAGAGCCCTGTGATTGAGGTACAAGGCACTTTACGTCTCGCCGGCCTCCCGCCGCGAACTGCCGAGACGCATGCGTACAGCAGATATAGCGCCTGCGCGCTGTTGCCGAGGGCCTGCGGTTGGTCGACGCGCGAGCGACCGACTGCGGCTAAGAATGCCTATTCGGGAGGCGCGCGTGCGCAGCCGGAAAAGGGGGCGGGAGGAAGCGAGTGCGTTTTCCTCTCTGGCGGCGCCATTTTGTGCTCAGAGCCGCTACAGCCACCGGCGGTGTGGGAGGTAGTTGGCGGGGACAGCACACCCGGGATGGCGGAGACTCTGGCAGGGTCCAGCGACTCGGGTTCTGGCACGGCCGCTGTCGTCTCGGGCGTCTCAGAGGTCGGGACGCGGCGACTCAGCGACCTGAGGGTGATCGACCTGCGGGCGGAGCTGAAGAAGCGGAACCTGGACACGGGCGGCAACAAGAGCGTCCTGATGGAGCGGCTCAAGAAGGTGAGGCGACCCGGGGCCCTGGGGTGCCGCCAGAGACCAAGTAACGCCCTCCCGCGGGCCTGTCACTGCGACTCCCTAGTGCGAGGCGCCCCCGGCCTGCATCTCTCGTTGTAAACTCCGGTCCGAACTGTCAGGAACCATGGGTCGGCTCTGTGACCTTGGCCCGACACCGCCCCTCTCTGCGCCTTGTTGCCTGCTTCCATTCAGTCATCTCAGTATTCTGAAAGCCCGTCTTAGTCGTAGGGTAGGTAGCCCCTGGACTTTTCCCAGGATTGTGTGACCTTGGACAGGTGCTGTCCCCTCTCAGCGCCTCAGTTTGCTCCCCTACGGAGCGGATGATTGAAGAACCTTTGCCATTGCCCGGGGAGGGGAGATGTGCCCGTTTTTGCCCCAGGACGTTTGCGTTCACCGTGCCCTGCACCTGGCGGCTTCTCTCCCAGGTCTCCATCTGGCTGGTGCTTTGTTGTCATTTTGGGGTCTGTCTTGAGATGTCGCCTCCGCGCCCTCCCCCCCCCCCCAAGTGAAGACTTGCTCTGAGTCCATGACTTCCTGTATCGCACCATCCTGTGTTCATTGTCCCACTTCGCAGCGTTGAACACAAAATTGGGTATGGCGGGTGGTCATCTCTCATGGAATCAGGCTCTTGAGGGTAGGAACCTGGTGAATTCACCGGGGAGTCCCCAGGCACGGGTAAGAAGACACTGTTGCCTTGAACCACCAGCCTCCCCCACTACCCAGGATGTTCTGTGTTCTTCCCTGCCCTGGGTCAGAGCTGTCCTGTTGAGCAGTGCTCAGCCCTTTGCCCACTGCCAGACCAGGTGTAGCCTGTTTATTACATTGTTGACTTAAAGTTGAGACAGTGTGGAGGTTAAGGACCATTTTGGAGCTCCATCAACCCTGACTGTGGAGCCCCAGCCTCTTTTGGGTGAAGGGCCCAGAGAGAACCAAGCGGTACTGGGTTCACCTACTGCATGGGGACCTGGCAGCCCACGTGGTAGAAACAGAGTTGCTTCTTGCAGGGAAGAGTTGCCTTTGTTGCTTGGAAATTGTTACAGAGGAAGAGCAGTGTGTGCCCCACAGCTCTTAACAGTGTTGTCAACTTTGCCTCTTTCTAACAGGCGGTTAAGGAAGAAGGGCAGGATCCTGATGAAATTGGTATTGCCTTGGAAGCCACAAGCAAGAAGACAAAGAGATGCGTGAAAGGTATCCACTTTAACTTATTGCTGCTTGGGGTGTCTACAACAAGAGAGCTTATATAAAAAACTTTTTTTACCATTCTTCTAGCCCTTCAAGTCAGGAGAGCTCCTTTAGCTCTCACTGTCCTCCATCTAACAGCTTGCTTATCTACCACCTAATGTGTAACTCTGTCAGGGTGCTGGGGAGTATTTGTAGGTGCCAAGTAAAATTAAAATACTGGTGGCTCGTCGGTAAAGAACCCACCTGCCCATGCAGGAGATGTGGGTTCGACCCCTGACTCAGAAAGATCCTTTGGAGGAGGGAAATGGCAACCCACTCCAGTATTCTTGCCTGGAAAATCCCATGGACAGAGGAGCCTGGCAGGCTGCATTCCATGAGATCTCAAGAGTCGAACTTGACTTTGTGACTGAGCAACAGTTAAAAACATTACAGCTTTTGTTTCTAGGATTAAAAAAGAACTAGTGTAAGGCACACTCTTAAAAGCTGCCCCAGCTGTCCTGATCAACCACATGCACCTACTTGTCTTCCTGGTTCAAAAAATAGGACTTAAACCAAGGGAAATGACAGCAGGCAGAGACCCAATAGAACCCAACTTCTTTAGGGTCCAAAATAGGTTGTTGGAATATTTGCCTGTTTTACTAGTGTGATTTTTTTTTTCAAATCTAAATATAATTCACATAGTGTAAAATTCACATGTTTAAAGTGTATAATGCTGTGCTTTTTAGTATATTCACAAGATTATGAGGTCATCACTACTCTTAGTTCTAGAACATTTTCATCATCTCAAGAAGAATCACCTATCCCCCATTAGCAGTCAGTTCCCACATCCCCCGCCCCCAGCAGTATCTAAATGAGGTTTTGTCTCTAAGGATTTTGCACATTCTAGACATTTCATGTAAGTAGAATCATACAGCGTATGTCCTTTCATGTCTGGCATCCTTCACAGAGCAGTGTGTTTTTAAGGTTTATCCATAGTATAACATGTATCAGTGCTCCTTTCCTTTTTATGGTTGACAGCAAAAGCGTGGGAACCTCACTAACAGTGGTTCTCATTTTCAGACTTTACTGGTGATAAGAACGGTATAATTTGCAACTCCCATACTTGTCTTGAAGGGTGCTGCACGAAAGTTTTTACAGCTGTCCATGTCCCATTCACCTAAAGAAGTGCTAATTTCAGGCAGTGGGATACAGCTGCTCAGAAAGTAAAAAGAAATTACTTTCTAGCAGGATGACTTTTCCAGAACTCAGTGAACTGTTTAAATCTTATGCATGTATTTTGAAAGGTTAAATTTTTGAGTTAGGTTATATTTAAAGGGGTTTACGTTTAAAACACTGGTATCTTTTCATTGCTTGTGAAACTGTCCGTATTTCAGCTGTAGACATGGACCGTTGAAACAAATCAATCATGAGGGATGGGTCTATAGCAGGAAACATACAGATAGTCTGTACTTTGCTGTTAACTTACCCATATCTGGAAGTTTGGTTTTGAATAGCTGAAAGTTTAAACTTTTTTGTGTTTAGGTGCTCATTTTAAACTGTGAGGTTAGGCTTACTTATTAAAATGATTTTGGTTCCTAGAAGGAATCTTTGAATCATTAGAAAAACTTGGTTGAATGCTTCCAATACATGTCTGAGTGGGTTAAAGCATAGGTCAGCTCACAGCTACTTGGTGTTAGCATTGTGTCAGGGAAGCCTTGATAATGATTACTCTTGGTGTAAAGTGAGTGTATCCATACAGGTTGGGATTAGAACGGCACTGGTTCCTTTCTTTTTCACAGAAGTCCCCAAAGCCCAAGATCCTGGGGCAGAGAATAGCTCCTCCAGGTTGTAGAACTAGTGTGTTCTCCAGAGGTGTCTGGGCATGTGGTTAGTTATACGAAGTGCTAGGTCCATATGGTGTCCTGGTTGAAATTAGGTCCTCAAGGTTAGTAGGCATCAGCCAGTGGGTTTCCAGAGTCCTCCTCAAAGTTGGACTGATTCTGGGAATTCGTGAATAACCACTGCCTTTCAAAAGTGAAGGGAGGCTGAACTTTGAAAGTTTCATTGCAGGTCAGAACTTGAGTCCTTTCCCCCAACTCATCTAAATGGGCAGAATTGCTGAAAACTGGGTGTGTTTTGAAAGATCAGCATTCTAAATTAGGTTACATTTGGGATTAAAATTGGATTGTCTCTGCCATTACCCTGTTCTGTTCCCCCACCTTTCAGTTTTTAGTCAGGACCCGTTCCTTGAGATTGGGGTGCAGTCTGTGTGTCCAGAGTTTATCTCATTCTCACTCCCACTTAGGGTGCTTTCTGGTGAGGTGTTTTGGTCTGCCTCTCTCCTGTGTATCTTCTTCGTGGGCACTTCAAGCTACTGTTTGAGGCTTGAGAAGTTGGGTGCAATTATAAAGCATTTTAAACAGTGTGTTTCAAAAGGATATGCCCAGTTCAGATATAATGGGAGGTGGGACAGCTCAGTTTTTGAGTCCCTGCTTTGGAGCAGAACCAAATTCTCCTGTCAGATGCAGATAGTAAACCTGCTAGCATTGCGAGGGGGTATTAAATAATGTGAAAAGCTCAGTGTGTAATAAAACTACATTTCTTGAGTAATCATTGATAATAATGAGAAATGAAATACTTAGGATATTGCAGTTGGCATCTTTAATCAAAGATTGAAGTTTCTTCAGACTCAAAAACATACAGTTATGGTTGTGGAGGGTGGGGTGTGTAGGGAGAGTGATGGAGTGGTGGTTTTGGATTAGCAGATGCAGACTACCATGTATAAGTTGGATCAACAACAAGGTCCTACTGTATAGTGCAGGCAACTGTATTCAGTATTGTGTAATAAGCCATAATGGAAAGGATGTGAAAAAGAATATGTATATACGAGTATAACTGGATTATTGTACAGCAGAAATTAACACAACATTGTAAACCAACTAAACATCTATAAAATAAAGACTGAGGCTTCTTAAGTTGCAAAACTGTGGTATGCCATAGCATTTTGCAGACTCAGCTGTGTTGATAGTTTGAACCGAGAACTTTGTGGTAGGATGCTGTCCTTTGTGTTACTGTGTGCTGGGCAGCCACTGCCCACTACGTGTCTGTAGCACTGCCAGTTGTAACACCAAAAATGTCTCCAGGCATCACCCTG